CCGGTTGTGTGTGTGTGTTTTTTTTAACTACAGTCCCCATTATCCCCGGCCAGCACAGGTGGGGCATATCTCTCTGTCTGTCTCTCCTATTTTCATTCAGTGCAGCTTACAGAACGCTTTCCCCATTCTTTAGTCTACACAACAACAACAACCTTGTGAGGTAGGTTGGATTGAGAGACCAATTGGTCCCATCCACCCCCAGTTAGGTGAACGTTAGTCTCCTTAGTACCTTAACCACTATACTACTGCATTTTGAAGGCATATATTTATACTCTAGATAGCATGATTTTTTCCCCTGCTTGGTTCGGACACTAGCAATGTAGGAAGCTAAGGCATATTCTTTCCTTCCCCTCCCCCCCCTTTTTTCCTGGAATTAAGGAGACACTTCCGAACACTGAGAACAATTAACCAGCTTGGGTGCTTCATTACTGGAGGTTTTTAAGAAAAGACTGGACCAAATACCTGTCTGAAATGGTATAGGGCAGTGATGGCTAACCTTTTTGCCGTCGCGTGCCCAAAGTGGGGGTCGCACGGGGGTCGCACACATTGTGTGCTCACACCCAAAATTCAATGTGCCCTGCCCCCCCCCATGAGACCACCCCGCACTCCCCCACTTATGGCACGGTGGGCCCAGTAGGCCCGTTTTTCGCCCTCCCCAGGCTCCAGAGGCTTTTTTTGAGCCCGGGGAAGGCGAAAACAGCCTTCCCCCCCCCCCGAGGCCCTCTGGAGGCCAGGAACAACCCGTTTCCTGACTTCCGGTGGGCCGAGAAGGCCTGAAAATCAGGTGGCCGGCACGCGCATGCGTGCTGTAGCTGAGCTAGGGCAATGCTCACGTGCCCACAGATATGGCTTTGCGTGCCACCTGTGGCACGCGTGCCATAGGTTCGCCATCACGGATATAGGGTCTCCTGCTTGAGAAGGAGGTTGGACTAGAAGACTTCCAAGGTCCCTTCCAGCTGTATTCTGATTGATAACTTGGGACATTTTCAGGGTGGATTTGATTTAAATCAAGTCGATTTGAATCACGATTTATTTAAAAAGTTTTTTATTTTGAACACATTAAAACAAAACATAAAGACACAACATTTATATACATATCACTTATTCCTTCAGCTATTTCCAGGTGATCCTTTCTTGCTATTTATATCTATTTACACATATTTTAACTTTTGTCTTATTCAACAATTATTTTTTATGAATGGTTGGAAAATAGGAAAAATGAGAAAGAGGAATAAAGGAAGGGGGGGGGGAAATGTTGAAGATCAAGGAGCAATGTAGATGAAATAAAGAAAATTAAATCATGATTTAAATCACTGGTAAAAAGGCTTGATTTAAATCGACTCTGTTTAAATCATAATTTTAAAAGAGCAACTGTCATCTCTGTCCCGCAACGGCTCCTCCTCTGACCCGCTGTTGATTCACCGACAGTCCCAATATTACAGAATATACAGGCCTCATGCTACATAACTAAGCTCCATTTCATACTGAATAAACTAAATTATTAATGTACCTTAAATAGAAAACTATCTTTAGATAAATTTTTTACTCCAAAGACATTTTATTAAAATACATTTGATAAAAATAAAAAAAAATCTGATTTAAATAAAAACAATCCAATTTAAATTTTTTTAAAAATGATTTTTTTTAAAAAAAAATCATCTATTTTTATCCGCCCTGGACATTTTGGAAGGTGGCCCGTCAGTGGCCTGTGCAGCTAGTAGCTGATTCCGACAGCGAGGAGGCTGATGTGCTGCGCCAGCAGCCTGTGCAGCTGGCACTCGAGTCGGACAATGAGGAGGCTGGAGAAGATGTGGTGCCAGAGGTGGGGATTCAGCCAGGGCCTTCATAACCTCCAGAAGCTCCCATAAGTGAAGAGGAAGAAGAGGAGGAGCCTCTTCTCAATGCACAAGCGCGCAGAGCTGCCAAAAGGCAGGAGTGGCTCCTCAGGAGGAGGTCTCCTTGAGAGTAAGGCTTGGGGCTAATTGGCCACTCCCCTAACCTATTTAAGGAAGGATGATAACTGAGGCAATTTGCAGGAAACAACTTGGTTCAAATTCCTACGCGTCTTGATCTTGTTTCTCTTATCAGTTTCCTGCAAATTGCTTCTGGGCATTCTGCCAACCACAGTAAGATTAGGATTATTATTCTTTGGATTCTTGTCGGCTGTTAATGAAGTTAACAGCTTTTGTTTGGAAAAGACTGATTTAAATTAGTAAACTAAGGTTTGTACGGACTTTGTGTGTGCTGCGTTCTTTGGGGTCCGTAGCTGGGCAGAACAGAGGGATGGAACATCTGAAGATGGAACTCTCTCCCTCCACCCCATTGCTATTTTCTCTCTCCTTTTCCCTCATCCAGCTTGCTTTCTGGCAGACCTGCTGCAGCTGTGCTTGCTAAAACTGCCCGGGCTCTTGCAGAAACAGAGACCTCCCGCTCAACTTTGCTTATTGTGGACAGCATGGCTACTGGGAGCATTGGGAAGAAGCTGCAGTCAGAAATAACTTGCTTTGTGTGTTTGGAGTACTTCGTGCAACCGGTGACTCTTGAATGTGGGCACAACTTCTGCCATGCCTGCATTGTGAAGCACTGGGGGCAGATTTCCAACCAGACCATTTGCCCTCAGTGCAGAGTATCAGTTCCTCGGTTGAAATTTAAGCCAAATGGGCAGCTGGCTAACGTCGTCCAGTTGATCAGGCAACTGAGTGATCAGGCAAAGCAGATGACAAGGACAAGCAAAACCTGTCAGGGACACGAACCGGCAATATTGTCTTTCTGCAAAGACGATCTTGTCCCCTTTTGCATACATTGCGATGGATCCCAGGAGCACCAAACTCATGATGTCATCTCTGTGGCACAAGCTGCTGAAGAGTACAAGGTGGGGAGTTCACACGGGGTCGAAAAATATACGGGGTTTCATAATAATAGCATTAACTGAGATGATGGGAGAAACCTCCCCGGGAAATCTTCAGGCGCTTGAGTTAGAGAATTTGGATATGGAATAAGAGACAAAGACAGTATTTAGGAAAAGCGTCCGTGCTGTTTTAAAACTCATCAGTCAGCTGTCCGCTCACATGCTATTTCTTGTATTGTCTTCCATTTGTTTTGTTTCTCTTTCAGGATCAATTTTTAAGATGTATCGAGAGTCTGCGGAAGGAGAAAGAAGTGGTTATGGAGCATCTCTCAGATACAGACAAAAAAAGTCAAGGCTTGTTTGTAGGTATTGCTACTATTGAGAAGTGAATAAGCATGATATCCTACTGTATTTCCAATACTATTGAAAGATACGTATGTGGCTCAGGGTTGAACTGGGGGGCCCTTGATGCTCTCTGAGATTGGTGGTTTGATATGCTGAGAGATATTTTTGCTTTGCTAAAAACATTTGTAAAAAGTATATTTTTTTAAAAAAATAATTTTTATTAAACATTTTTTTAAAAACAAAAAAGAATCTTCAACAATTTTTTCTTTCTAACAATTTTGCATCGGTAAAACATTTCTTACTTATCCATTTTTTCTCCCTTATTTCAATGTATCCTTTCTACATATCATTCTAATATTGATTTATTTGCATATAAATAACAGTGTTCAAAATTTCATTTCTACAACCTGCATTTTTTCTGCTTCCTCTTATTTGTTATTACATTTCTACTCCTATGTCTTCCTCATTTGCTCTTTCCTTGCCTTTTATCTCTCTCTAACCATTCATACCATTTCCCCCACACTATATAATATTCTGTTTGCTTGCAGACATCTCATATCCTACTAGGTTACATCAGCAGTGTCAGATAATGATGTTATTGGTACTTAAAATTGGTAATGAAACATCTGCAAGCAAACAACCAAACTCGGAAAGCATCAAGGACTACACAATATCCTTTTTATAACTCTTTTTAGCAAAGCAAAAATATCTCTCAGTATATTGGCTGGAGTTAATCAGAGAACTTCAAGTGACTGAACCCAGGCCTAATATTAAATATAAGAATCGAGAATGTTCTACTTCAATCTTATCTTTAGTGCTAAAGGCAGAATATTCCCAAGCTTGTACTGTTGTACTGTGCTTGTTCCTTTGTACTGTTCCTTTGTACTTTGTACTTTACCTTTAATATAGGTATAGGTAATATAGGTAAAGAAGCTAAAATAAAGGTAAGCAGGTTTTGATTTCTCAGTATCCTGTATCAGGATACTGAGCAGGTTAGATGAACACAGGAGCTGAATCAGTGGTGAAATGTAAATTTTGTTACTACAGGTTTTGTGGGCATGGCTTGGTGGTGGTGGGGTAATATGACTGAGTGGGCATTTTTCTACAACCTCTTCAGCTGAAGAGGTTGTTAAAAAAATGCTTTTAAAGCCTCTGATGATCCCAGCTGACTCGCCTGATTGGCAGAGGCTTTTTCTTTTTTTTTTTAAGCCTCTGACTGACTTGCCTGATCAGCAGAGGCTTTGTTTTTACTTTTAAAAGCATTTTTTCTATAACCTCTTCGGCCAAAGAGGTTGTAGAAAAAATGCTTTTAAAGATTAAAAAAAAGCCTCTGATGATTGCACGGCTCAGCTGGACAATTGGGGGGGGGGCAGGGATTTTTGCTACCGGTTCTCCGAACCACCCGCCTCCATCGCTACCGGATCAGGCGATCCGGTCCGAACTGGGAGCATTTCAGCCCTGAGCTGAATGTTATCAAACTGGATCGTTTGGTTAGAACATTGTATGGACTCAGCCAATGATTGCTCAGCTAGAAGTGACATCCATGATTCTTAAGAATTAATAAATATGCTCTCCTCCTCCTCCAAATCTTTTTTTTTTTTTTTACTGCAGCAACTAGTAGAAGCAGAGAAAAAGAAAGTGATGGATGGGTTTAATCATCTGCGTCAACGTGTATTGGAACAAAACACCTTTTGGCTTGCTAAGGTTGAAGAGGTAAAGACGGAGATCACGCTGGAAACAAATGATCAGATGGCTATAATCTCCAAGGAACTGTTTGTTCTTGATTACATCATCCAGGACATGGTTGAGAAGTGTGATCAGCCAGTGTTGGAATTCCTAGAGGTAAGAAATTTAGGACAGTCTTAGAGGGACTCATTTTTCATGCTGGTTTGTTCCCTGATTATGGAGTGAAAGAGATGCTAGTTAAATGTTGTTGCCGTTGTTACTGGGCTGGGGGAAGTGGCTTTCATGATAGAATATGTCAACAATGAGGGACCCTCTCCCAAAGATGCTTTTTCAAGAGGCCACTGGTCTTTCTGGTTTTTTCTTTGAAGATGTTTTGCTTCTCATCCAAGAACCTTCTTTAGCTCTGACTTCAAAGAAAAACCAGAAAGTCCAGTTGCCTCTTGAAAAAGCACCTTTGGGACAACCATGACCTGGATGACTGAGAATCTTCATATAGACAAATGAAGGACCTCTGCCTAAAAAAAGAGGAATTTGGGGTATAGGAGCTCATTCATTCATACATCTTGGCAAGCACACCTAGTATTTTGAGAATTTGTTGTGTGTACTTTTACAGAATGGTAGCCCAAGTGAGATGAGTGCATAAGAAAGGCAGGATATGAAGTAGGAAGCTTGGTGTAGATACCAATGAAGGGATCTATAGACACTTGGTACCTTCAGGCACCATGTTTAGTGCACCTCCCTTGCTTTATAGCTAGTGTCTTTACTTTAGGTAGAGTCTTACTCTCCAAACCAGAGTTCTTCAAACTTGGCAGCTTTAAGACTTGTGGACTTCGACTCCCAGAATTCTCCAGCCAGCTGGGAGTCGAAGTCCACAAGTCTTAAAGCTGCCAAGTTTGGGCACCTCTGCTCTAAACAATGGACCTAAGTCCAGTCTTTGGCATCTGCAGGTAAGATTAAACATCTGGACAGTTACTTCCAGTGTTAAATTGGTAATAAACTAGATAGGCCAATGGCTTGATTCATTCTTCCAAGAAGTACTGATAAGCGTATCTGAAAGAGAAGACTATGCAGACCTATACAATCAATTTGCATGTTCAGGGAATGTGCTACACAACAGGAAAGAATATTGTAACCAGATGTTTTTTCTACACCTAGGAATCCTACTTGGTTCTACATTTAGCCCACAGAATGAGTTTAAAGACATACCTAACATTAAATTGTTTGGGTATATTTTAAAAAAAATGGATTCACCTTCATATACATAGTCCTTGACTTACGACCACAACAAAAATCCAAAATTTCTGTTGCTAAGCAGGACAGTTGAGTGAATTTTGCCCTGTTTTATGACCTTTCTTAAGTTGTTAAGTGAATCACTGCAGTTAAATTAATAACATGGTTATTAAATGAATCTGGCTTCCTTATTGACTTTGCTGGTCAGATTGTTGCAAAAGGTGATTGATCACATGACCCCAGGATACTGCAACTGTTATAAATACATGCCAGGTGCCAAGTGACTGAATTTTGAACACATGACCAAAAGGATGCTGCAAAAGTCATAAGTGTGAAAAAATGGTCATAACTCACTTTTTTAATGCCGTAACTTTTAACAGTCACTAAATGAATGGTTGTAAGTCAAGGACTACCTGTATTACTGTCTTACTCACTTGAATATTCAGGCTTCTGTGTGATTTACAATGTTAGTCTGCAGGTACAGGACAGAATCTGTGAGTCTTTCTCTAGTTCCCAGTCAATATAACCCAATTTGCAAGACATGTTTAAACTATTTTTTCCCAAAGCACTTTTTATTTTACTTTTTAAAGTTTGAATATTGCCTTTCAAAATCTGGTTTCTCTAAGATAGCCACTGAATTTTCCTAGTCTTTATAGGTGGAGAGTTTCAGTTTATTACTGTCCAAACTTTTAAGGATGCCTTTAGAATCTTGGATATGGAATCTGGGCATTGCTAAATACAATATATTGCTGAACTACAGTTCCTAGCAGTTTTTGTATGCATAATGGTGAGAGATATTGGTTGCTCTAGCCTTAGCAACATTTAGCAATATCAATATCAATAGCACTTAGACTTATATACTGCTTTATAGTGCTTCACAGCCCTCTCTAAGCAGTTTACAGAGTCAGCATATTGCCTCCAACAATCTGGGTCCTCATTTTACCCACCTCGGAAGGATGGAAGGCTGAGACAACCTTGAGCCGGTGAGATTTGAACTGCCTGCAGTCAGCAGAAGTAGCCTGCAGTACTGCACTCTAACCACTGCGCCACCACGGCTCATTTAAAAGGCTTTTTAGTTCTTAGCCCTGCTTTTAGAAGGATTTTGGACAAGCAAGTACTGAGTGTTTATTCTTTTTTAATTTTAGAATGTCGGAAGCGTCTTGGAACGGTAAGTTGATCTCTCCTTGAAATGGCCAGGTCAGTATTTATTTTGTATGTGGATGGATGGATGGGCAGATAGATACGTATTGAAAGCTGCCTAGTCTTCTAATATACAAAAGTGACATGCTTCATTTTAATATACCAATTCATCTAAATGGGATTATAAACAATTGCAACCCAATTTGGTTGCAACCAGCCTTGGAGATTGAGGTAAAAATGATATGGAGTTAAATGGTTTGGCTGAAACAGAAAAGATATGTTATTTTCAAACAAAAGTATGAATCGGAGTTGGATAGAAGCCTTGATACATACTACTATATAGCTTGGAACAGGACATATTTTATAGGTGTATCAAGGATTAATTAAATTTATGGACTGAATAGTGCATTAAATGTTCATAATTACATGAATTAACATTTGCAAAGACAGCAATACCATAGTTACAAGCGGAATAGAAACTTGTATTTTTTGTCTTATTTTGGCCCATTTTTGCATATGGCTGTGATGAATATTGAAAGTTGGGGTGGCATTTGGTTTCCTAAAACTTGTAGCCCCCCTTTTTTTCCTAGTTCCTGCACCCTATTATTGAATTTTGGTTCCCAACTGATTCTTACAGTATTTGTCATTTTTATTACATGTAGAGAAAAAGTCAGGTCAACTGTTGATCAGGTCTTGTAAGATGCCACTTTTCATGAAGCCCCATATGTAGAGCAGAGCAGAGCAGAGCAGAGCAGAGCAGAGCAGAGCAGAGCAGAGCAGAGCAGAGCAGAGCAGAGCAGAGCAGAACAGAACAGAACAGAACAACAGATTTGGAAGGGACCTTGGAGGTCTTCTAGTCCAACCCCCTGCTCAGGCAGGAAACCCTACACCACTTCAGACAAATGGTTATCCAACCTCTTCTTAAAAATTTCCAGTGTTGGAGCATTCACAACTTCTGGATGCAAATTGTTCCACTTATTAATTGTTTTATTTACTATTTTCTACTATCTACTATTTCTCCTTAGTTCTAAGTTGCTTTTCGTGTACACCTATGATAATCCACCAGAATTTAGGATTGGAAGATCTGGATTTGGGAATAATTGTATTTAATGCAGTATGGTTTCCCCAGATGTGTTTTTTTTCTCCTGCTTCATTTCTTCTATACAGCAAGGAAATGTATAGAGAGAAACTCTTCTGTCTCTCTGGAGAAATTTCTGGGTCAGACATACTAAAACGAGATCTGTCTTCTAAGCCTAACTCTAGTTTGTCCCTCACTTTTAAAGAAAGCTTCTGAGAATTACAGGCTGGAAGGACCATTGACTACTGTCTATTTCTCTACAGGTATAAGAAGAAGAAGAAATTTGAGAATCCAGGGGTCTTTCCACCAAAGATTAAACATGAAATCTGGGGATTGCAGGACTTCAGTGCTTTTCTGCCTGGTGCTGTGAAGCAATTTGAGAGTAATGGAAGGATTTTGTCACACTTTAACTCTATGCCACAATTGGAAAGTCAATCATAGTTTACAAAATGGACGGTACTTACTCCCTAGGGCAGAGGTCTTCAAACTTGGCAGCTTTCAGACTTGTGGACTTCAACTCCCAGAATTCTCCAGCCAGTTACGCTGGCTGGAGAATTCTGAGAGTTTTTTTTTTTTTTTTTAATTTGATTTATATGCCGCCCTTCTCCGAAGACTCAGGGCGGCTTACAATGTGCTCAGCAATAGCCTTCATCCTTTTGTATATTTATACAAAGTCAGCTTATTGCCCCCACAAACTGGGTCCTCATTTCACCTACCTTAGAAAGGATGGAAGGCTGAGTCAACCTTGAGCCTTGGCGAGATTCGAACCCTGCAGTAATTGCAGGCAGCTGGTCTTAATAAGCTTAATAACAGGGTGCCTTAAACCCCTGTACTACCAAGGCTCTTCTTTGAAGTCCACAAGTCTGAAAGCTGCCAAGTTTGAAGACCTCTGCCCTAGGCTATTGTCCAATTCATATCTTTCCTCATTAAGAATAATCTCAAAACAGTCCATTTCCTCTTGTTTGGGGATGAGACCTTCTGTGGGAAGGGGAGGAGCCTGTGTTGATTGAAGCAGAGAGGAAAATGCATAGAGCCTCTTCCATTGGTCCCATTCTGAATAATTCATTTACTTTTTTTGGTCCTTTGATGGAGGGAAACTTATGCTTGTTGGGGAAGGAGAAAAGTCATTCTGTTAGCAATGATAATGTTATCTAGTTGGGTAGTGAAACGTCTGCAAGAAAACAGCCAAGCCCAGAAAGCGCCAAGGAACTCTCATTTCAACCGTGAGTTACATATATTCTCCTTTATTGGAAAAAAAGTTCTGCTTATGGACTAAAACGTGCCTCGCTTAAAGCAACCAAATCGCTATGATGATGTGACATACATTCATTAAGCATGCAAACAACTATAGTATATACTGAGCTTCCAGTATATTAGCCGCTTGCTGAGCAGCCCTGATCAAAAAAAGCAGAATGTGCCTTATGCCAGGGATGGGCAACTGTGGCCCTTTTACAACCTGTGGACTTCAACTCCCAGAGTTCCTAAGACAGCCATGCTGCTTCAGGAATTCTGGGAGTTGAAGTCCCCAGTTCATAAAGGGTCCATAATCGCCTATCCCTGCCTTATGCGCGTTTGGCTTACAACATTACACAAGGTCTACCCCTTTATGTTTGTAAATTACAGCATGGCAGAAACTGTTTTTCATTCAATAGGTTTGATAGTTTTTCTGGGTGACCTTCTCATTACTTACCCCGTCCTATTAGGTCAGCATGGCAGCTCTATTATCTTTGAGATATGATCAGTGAATATAAACAATGTGGTTTACTGGGCCACAGGTCCAGTGGCGAAATCTAAAAAATTTTCCTACCGGTTCGGTGGGCGTGGCTTGGTGGGGAAGGGGGTGTCATGTGACTGGGTGGGTGTGGCTATGTAGTCATGTGACTGGGGGGCGTCAAAAGACAGAAACTCACTTTAACAATGTCCTGCTGGAGCAGGGGGTTGGACTAGATGACCTCCAGGTCCCTTCCAGCCCTGGATTGCTGTGCTCTTTCAAGGTATCCTCTGAAGCTGCAGCTAGTGCCAGGTTTGTGGTTGGTCCTTCCTCTCCTTTTTCCCTCTCTCCCTCTCTTTTTCTTTCTTTTTCTTTCTATCTATCTATCTATCTATCTATCTATCTATCTATCTATCTATCTTATCTATCTATCTTCTATCATCTTTCTTTCTTTTCTTTCTTTCCTTCCTTCCTTCCTTCCTTCCTTCCTTCCTTCCTTCCTTCCTTCCTTCCTTCCTTCCTTCCTTCCTTCCTTCCTTCCTCCCTCCCTCCCTCCCTCCCCTCCCCTCTCCTTTCCTTTCCTTTCCTTCCTTTCTTCCCTCCCTGTAGCATTTCACCCCTGCACTTGTCCCTTTCTTGCCATTCAAGATCAATTCAGCTTTTTTGTGAATGCTTTGTTACAAGGACACCTTAAGCTGTTGGAGGGGAGCATCTGATAGGATTGGTAGTGAATGCAGCTCATATGTATGGAATGGGGCAGCAACTTTTAGTACCACACTGGTGTGGTCAGTGTGAGATAATAGTGAAGATGCTGGACTCAAAACAGGTCCATAGAAGGTCCCTGAGTGATTTTGGGTCAATGTTGCTTTTTCACTATCTGTCCAACTTATTGTGAGGGGTAATTTTATGGCAAAAAACAACCAGCAGAGGAAGTATATACTGTGCTGCCCTAGGATAAAAATCTAATGCATTTTTTTCTTCTTCCTTTCCAAGAAACTCTGGAATCTGGATATCAGATGAAGAAACAAAATGGTACATATCTGGGGTTTGTAGACATCAAATGGACATTAAGGTGGTTAGTGCCCATATTTCTTGTAGGCAGTGGAGGCTATTTTAACAGAATTTTTAGAAAGTGATATGGGGTTTTTAAATAAATCAATACCAGAATAACAGAATTGGAAGGGACCTTGGAGGTCTTCTAGTCCATCCCCCGTTCAAGCAGGAGACCCTATCCCATTTCTGACAAGTGGCTGTGCAGTCTCTTCTTGAAAGCCTCCAGTGACGAAGCACTGAATGAAGGGGCTGACTGAATAACATAATAAAATGTTATTTTTTCCCTCAAGAAGAGGATAAGGGGAAAGATTTATTGAAAAGGGAGTTGGCAAAAGACCATTAGCTGTAAGTGAAGAGAGAGAGAAAAAACCTAAATCAAATTTTGGGGTAGTAAAGATTTTAAGAAAGGGTTCCCAGGAAGGAAAGGAATACAACACAAATCAGTACGTAACTGCTGAATGATAGTTACGTATGGCCCAGGTTTATTCTGCTGGTGTCCTATTAACAATCTTATTTGCTTTCACTATACTGCTCATTGAGGGTTATCTATAAGAAGGTCCAGAAGGACTACACAAGGGGTTACAAATCTCACAAAATACTGAAGTTTGCTCTGGAGAGAAGGAAGACCTATCAAAATACAAACCATCAAATCTTCTGAAAAAACCACCTTGTGGCAGCCCTTGAACATTTGTGGATTCACTTGCTTGGGGAAAGCAGCAGGTGTGCCACAAAGCTAAGAGAAGAGAAGTATTTTTTAACAATAACAGAGTAATAGAGTTGGAAGGAACCTTGGAGGTCATCTAGTCCAACCCCCTGCTCATGCAGACCTGTACTAGGGATTCGAACCGCCGACCTTTCTGATGGACAAGCTCAGTGTTTTAGCCACAGATCCACCTAGTCAGGCTAAGAGACAGGAAATATGAGCCAGACTAGAGAGTAAAGATTGAGATAAAATACCTGTGATTTAAGTTGAGTTCAGCTCCTATTTAAGGCACATCCAAATTGTTTTGTTGCCAACACTGCAGAAATGCTTTGCCATTGCTTTCCTCCTGGATCAGTGGTGGGTTTCAAATTTTTTTACTGCTGGTTCTGTGGGCGTGGCTTGGTGGGCGTGACATGGCTTGGTGGGCAGGCAGGGGAAGGATACTGTAAAATCTCCATTCTCACCCCATTCCATGGGAAGGTTACTGCAAAATCCCCATTTCCTCCCGATCAGCTGGGGCTCAGGAGGCAGAGAATAGATGAGGGTGGGGCCAGTCAGTGGTGGTATTTATCGGTTCTCCGAACTACTCAAAATTTCCGCTATCGGTTCTCTAGAACTGGTCAGAACCTGCTGAAACCCACCACTGTCCTGGATGTGTTGTTGACTTCGCAGTTTAGTCTTCAACCTTGAGATTTCCTGGTGTTCTCCTAGCACTAGCAGGCTTGACCCTGCTTAATTTTGCCACTAATTTTTTTTTTTTTTTTTGAGAAGCAACATATAAATCTTCCAAATTTAGGTCCTTTCATGCCTGCTTACTTTTTTTTTTTTTTTTTTTTTTACTCTCGCAGAAAATACTACTTTGGAGCCAGACCCAACTCAGGAGAAACGCTTGAGGCTAGGGGAGGCCTGTCAAGATCCATGAAAGAGTTTGAAGGCAGACAACTCCTGGGAAGTTATAGTACTGTAGGATGTTTGCAATATAGTTGTTAAAGAACTTCAGTGAAGGGAGAAGGCCTTGCTTGAAATGAAAGCTGGTGCAATTTTAACTGAAAATAAACTAATCGTTATATATTACCTAGCACATAATTGTAATGGATTGCAGATAAGGTATAATCATTGATATCTTCTAGATCCACTTGGGAATCACTGTTTAATGACCAGAAATTTCAATGGCATTGTGAAATGGAGTATTAATTATTTGGACGCATAAAGAAAGATATCAATTTGGAAAGGACCTTGAAGGTTTTCTAGTCCAACCATCTCCCCATGGTAGAACTTTTCATACCATCCTGGAAAAATAGCTGTTCAGCCTTTGCGAATCTGTAGTGACAGAATAACAGAGTTGGAAGGAGGTTTTGTAATCCACTCCCTGCTCAAGCAGGAAGCCCTATAACATTTCAGACAAATGCTTGTCCAATCTCTTAAAAACCTCCAGTGATGGAGCACCTACAACTTCTGGAGGCAAGTTGTTCCACTGATTGTTACATCAGGAAATTCCTCGATGGTTCTAGCTGGCTTCTCTCCTTGATTAGTTTCCATCCGTTGCTTCTTGTTCTGCCTTCAGGTGCTTTGGAAAATAGGTTGACCCCGTTCTTCGTGGCAGTCCCCCAAATATTGGAACAATGCTATCATATCACCTCTAGCCCCCCCCCTTTAAACTAGGCTCCAATGTTTATTATCATCGGCTTATCTTGGTATACTTTTTTCCCAGGGCTGATGAGCACATTTTAAAATTGACTGTACATCCATTTTCATTTTCTCAGAGGTCCAACCCAGGGGTGAAATCTAATTTCTTTTGCCACCGGTTCTGTGGGCATGGCTTGGGGTGTGTGGCTTGGTGGTGGTCATGTGACTAGGTGGGCGTGGCCAATTTTAAAAAACTTTTTAAAGCATTTTTAACTAGTAAAAAATGCTTTAAAAAGTAAAAAAAAAAAGTTTCCGATCAGTACCTGACCAGCCTGACCCCCCTCGCCAAGCCAGATCCAACGCCTCCTAGCCCCAAAGATTGCAAGCCTTTCTACCTCGGCCACCCAGTTTGGGAGATGACCGGGGGGTGGGGGGGGGGAAAGAGAGAGAAACAAATTGCTTGGCTGCTCCCCCTTTTCACTCACCCCGAGCTTCCTGTTGCAGATTTTCACGCCTTGCTTTACACACCTGGGATTGTCACCCTCTTCCTCCTCCTCCTCTCCAAGTGGAAAAATGCCAGGAGCAAGTGCAAAAAGAAGCGCTTGCTTGCTCCTGGCGTTTTTCCATTTGTAAGGAAGCTTTCATACCTTGTGAAGGCAAGTCTGGCTTCCTGCACTAAAAATCTCACCAGTACCTGTTGTGTGCGTGGCTTATGTGTGTGTATGTGGATGTCGGGCATGGGCTGCTGCGAAGACCAGGAGCAAAGATACACACACACACACACACACACAGGCTTTAAAAGACCTTTGAATGAAGGCGGGGGTGGATTGGAGGGGTCATTTCCCTCCCCCTCCCTGCCTCCGCACCGACATTCAGTGCAGTGCACACACACACACACATAGAGGTTTTAAAAGACTTTTTGAATGACTTGAGGCTCCTTCAGGTTGGTCTCCAAAGAAAAGAGGAATGAAGGCGGGGGTGGATTGAAGGGGTGAATTCCGCAACTCTGGTTCAGCCGGCTGGGAATGGGACGGCAGGCACAGGCTGCTGCGAAAGACTAGGAGCAAAAACACACACACAAGCTGCATGCACAGCAGTACTGGTGAGGTTTTTAGTGAGCAGCACAGGAAGCCAGACTTGCCTTCAAGAAAGCTTCCTTACAAATGGAAAAACGTCAGGAGCAAGCAAAGGCTTCTTTTTGTACTTGCTCCTGGCGTTTTTCCACTTGGAGAGGAGGAGGAGGAAGACAAGGGCAACAATCCCAAGTATGTGAAGCAAGGCATGAAAATCCGCAGCAGGAAGCTCGGGGTGAGTGAAAAGGGGGAGCAGCAGAGCGCTTTGTTTCTCCGGAACCGGTAGAAAAAAATGCTTAAAAAGAAAAAAAAAGTTGCGATGATCGCGCATCGCTCAGCTGATCGTTGGAACTTTTCAAAAAACTTTTAAAGCATTTTACTACCGGTTCTCTGGAAGTAAAAGCAGGAAGTAACGACGACTGGGTGGGTGGGTGGGCGGAACCTCAGGTTGCCATTGCTACCGGTTCTCTGAACCACCGGCCATCATCGCTACCTACTCGCCCGAGCTAGTCTGAACTGGGAGCATTTCACCCCTGGTCCAACCTCTGGGTTCAAAGACACTATTAGAAATAGATGACGGTAGATGTTTTGATATTTGTTCCATTTGATATTTTGTTTTTGTTAAAAGGTAAAATGTAGGGAGGACAGAGAACTAAAAGGATGTGCTGAAATACCCCAACCATCCATTGGCAGGGATCCTGATCTGTTTGTTTGCTGGGTGAATGGACACCTGGTAGACAAACAGGAAGAGAAGAAAATCTTACAGAGAATCCTCCCTGTCCCTCATTTATTTAATTTTTTTAATAATATTTTTATTAAGCAGTTTTTTTCCATTTTATATCACAGTATCAGTATATATCTAGTATAAATACAGTACATTTTCCCCTTTATCTGTGTAATCACATACATGTGGGTTCCCTTATATATACTAATATTCTAATACAGTATATTCATTTATGTACATTTATATACAGTACATAGACAATTTACATTTTATATCACATCTTATCCTACTATAATACTGAATCCACTTTCTTTGTTGATTTGCTAATCTTTACATCTAACGCTCTAACCAGTCTTACCATAAATTCCATATTGGATAATACTCAAGTTTCTATCTTTTATTTCCATTGTTAATTTATCTATTTCAGCACACTCTAACACTTTATCACACTTTTCTTTTGACAGTGTATTTTTATTTTTCCAGTTTTGGGCATAAGACTATCCTGGCCGCAGTTATTATTTTGTTAAAAAGCTAAAATGTAGGGAGAACTAAAAAGATGTGCTGAAATACTCCAACCATCCATTGGCAGGGACCCTGATCTGTTTGTTTGCTGGGTGAATGGATATACCTGGCAGACAAAGAGGAAGAGAAGAAAATCTTACGGAGAATCCACCCCTGCTCTGCCCCTCATACACCATGATCTATCAATGCTAGGAAAAGAAGCCTTTTGTGACGTCCACTGGAGCTTTATGCCGAGAGAACACGCAGAAGTGCTAACGGAAACTCTTGAAGATAATTTGGTTTCCTAAAAAAAAACCAAGAGGGACATTTTTTGCTCGGTTATTTTATTAAGAAAAGTTAATTTCGCATTCGCACGCGCCTCCTCCTGTGCAAGGAGCCCCGCCCACTTTCCTGGGCCGAGGTTTTCCAAAGGGAAGAGCGACCTGACGAAAAGAAAAGGCGAAACGCCATTGGACGTCGCTGTCGACCAAACAAATCCCCTTACGAAAAGTAAAGGCGGGATGCCATTGGATAGTGCTGTCACCTATTTTACCCAATCAGGATTGAGCAACACTTTTTCCCTCCCTCCCCCTTTTTCTCTCTCTCACACACAAGGCGGGTGATAGATTAAAAACAATGCTCCTGACGAAAAGAAAGGCGACACACCATTGGACAGTGCTGTCACGTCACTCATTTTACCCAATCAGGATTGAGCAACACTTTTTCCCTCCGCCCCCCCCCCCCACACACAGGGCGGGTGACAGATTAAAAACAATGCTCTTGACGAAAAGAAAGGCGACACACCATTGGACAGTGCTGACACGTCACCCATTTTACCCAATCAGGATTGAGCAACATTTTTTCCCTCCCTCCCCTCTCTCTCTCACACACACAGGGCGGGTGATAGATTAAAAATAATGCTCCTGACGAAAAGAAAGGCGACACACCATTGGACAGTGCTGTCACGTCACTCATTTTACCCAATCAGGATTGAGCAACACTTTTTCCCTCCGCCCCCCCCCCCACACACAGGGCGGGTGACAGATTAAAAACAATGCTCTTGACGAAAAGAAAGGTGACACACCATTGGACATCGCTGTCGCCCAAACAAATCTTACGAAAAGGAAAGGCGAGATGCCATTGGACAGTGCTGTCACCCATTTTACCCAATCAGGATTGAGCAACACTTTTTCCCTCCCTCCCCCCCTTTCTCTCTCTCTCACACACAAGGCGGGTGATAGATTAAAAACAAGCTCCTGAGGAAAAGAAAGGAGACACACCATTGGACAGTGCTGTCACGTCACCCATTTTACCCAATCAGGATTGAGCTGCACTTTTTCCCCCTGCCCCCTCGTTCTCACAGGATGAGTGACAGGTTAAAAACAATGTCCCTTACAAAAAGAAAGGCGAGAAGCCATTGGATAGCGCTGTCACTCATTTTTTCCCAATCAGGATTGAGCAACATTCTCCCCTCTCCCCCTTCTCTCTCAAGGGCGGGTGGCAGATTAAAAGCAATGCCTCTTACGAAAAGAAAGGCGAGACGCCATTGGACAGTGCTGTCGTCCATCTGACCCACTCTCCCCTCCCCTCCTTCTCTCTCACAGGGCGGGTGACAATGCCACTTACGAAAAGAAAGTCGAGAGGCCATTGGACAGTGCTGTCACCCATTTTACCCAATCAGGATTGAGCCACACTCTTCCCCCCCCCCTCTCTCTCACATAGAGGGCGGGTGACAGATTGAAAACATAGCCGAGGCGCAGAGGCTCTCGGGAGTTTTAATGGGCGTCTCGTCTCTAAAAGGCAGCTTGAAGGCTAAGCTGAGTTTCGCGGGACTTTCGGTTTTACTGGGTGGGATTTAGTTCGTATCCACGTTGTTAAGTTTGCCTCTTTGCCTTTCACTGGACTTGCTCCGGGCTTTGTGTGGTGAGCTAGGGGTGGGTTGGGCAGTCCTTCCCTTTCCCTCCCTTGTTCTGCTTTGGGGGGCATGATAACTCTCTAAATAGGCGGATAGTTTAACTATAAATACGCCAGCCTCAAAAGATGCTTGCCTTGATTTAACGGTGCGTTAAACAATATTTATTTATTATTTATTTATTACATGTATTTATATGCCGCCATTCTCCCGAAGGACTCAGGGTGGCGAACACAAGTTAAGAAACAAGTACAATAAAATCCCATTTTAATCCAAATAATTAATTAATAGTAAATAATAAAACCCGGAATCAGTCATATACAGTCACTGAAAAAAATATTTGACCAGCCAGGTGCTTCCAATATGCTGGACCGAGAATCTTATCCCGCTACAGGGAAAATATTTGAACAAATGATGGAAATTTAGGTCATAGAAATAAATACATATTTTGCAATTAATGGAATTGCATTAACTAAATATTAAACCTTCCTCCAAGTAATTTCGGTGTCTCTGGACTGCTAAAATACAAATAATTTGAAGCTATTTTTATCTTGATATGCTTGCCCTTCCTCTAGGTGAGAATTGTCTTCTTCCTTCTGGATAATACTATATCAAACTCGCTTTCTTTTGTATTTCTTTATTAGATTAAGCCCCCCTTTCTAAAAGTAAGCTTGATGTTAGATTGTGGTGTGTCTAATCTATTAAATAAAAGCACTGATGATGTTACCTGGTTACCTCATTACCCAAATGAAACCTCTGCAAGAAAACAAACCAAGCTCAGAGAGCACCAAGGACCCCTCATTTCAACCCTGAGTGAAAATATTTACCTGCATTGTTATAGAATAAACCATAATTGATGGAATTGGTTTATGTCAGGATATAATCATGGTTTAAACATCATAATGCCTTAGTTTCTCAAACTGATTTAGCCTAGTCCAAACAAACAACATGACACCTCAGCCTGGGAAACACACTAGCCCTAAATGTTTATGGAGATTCTCAATTATCCAGGTCGCTGTTGTCCCAAAGGTGTTTTTTCCAAAAAACACCTGGACTTTCTTGTTTTTTGATCTTTGAAAATGTTTTGCTCCTCAAAAGTTTTCAAAGGAAAAAACCCAAGAAAGTCCAATTGCCTTTTGGAGACAATGCCTTTGGGAAACTAGACCTAAATATATGCTGTGTATTGATTGAGTTCACTTGTCTTGTTTAAGCCAAAATGTGTGTTGCTGCTTTCTGGTTTAAATTTTGTGTCAACCTATCACTATAATACAATAAATTAAGCCAAATTAAATTGTGGCTTAGCATGATGAATGAAGCTCATCAATATTTTTAATATGTGTTTTCAATTAAACATTTTTGAACATTTATCAGAACTTTTATACATTTGCACAAGTTTTTTTTTTTATCTCAAAAGTGCAGATTGTGATGGTTGTACATAAATGCAACCTCCTTTGAATAATTTTCTAAATAAACACTTGTACATATTGGCTAGGTTAGCTGGATAAGTTACTAGCTGGGATCACCCAATATGTTAAACCAAACAAACTCTATGTGTTGCAAGGAGTCCTCTCACCCCCAAACACCTGTCATATAATTCAGAGAGTAAGATGTAGCCAAGAAAAAGACTGGTATTAAAATATCATAGTAGCTATTAAAGGATATAAATATATATATTTGTTTTCTGTTCCTTCATCTCAGACTGCAGCCTTGAAGTAGTGAAATAAAAGTTCCTACTGTGGGTCTATAAAAATCAAAAGGAAAGTGAAAGTCCATCTTTTTAAAACAAATCTGGTCAATGATGGATGACAACCCCATGGAAAAATGTGTCTCGGAAGCAAACTGCTCCATTTGCGGGCAATATTTTAAGGACCCTCTAGTTCTTGACTGCGGACATATTTTCTGCCGAGATTGCATTATGAAGTGCTGGAAAGAATCTTCATCAGAACTTGCCTGTCCTCAGTGTAAGCATATAATTCTTCAGGAGAACTTCAGCCAAAATCAGCAACTGGATAATGTCAGATTATTCAAGCAATTAAGAGATCAGGCAGAAGGAGACACCAAATATTGTCAGCAACATCAAGAGCATTTGGACCTGTTCTGTAAGAATGACCAGGTCTTTGTCTGTTCAGTGTGCTGTGGATCTGAGGAGCACCAGGCTCACACTGTCATCCCTATTGAAACAGCTGCTCTGGAGTTCAAGGTAGGGACTTTCCATTTATACTAGGATGTATATGTTTTTCTACTATTACTCAGCTATATCTTGATATCCTTATATACTGTATATTATAATATAATTGATATATCTATATCAGACATAAATACAATTGAACGAGTCCAGAGGTATTTCACGAGAAGAGTCCTCCATTCCTCTGCTCGCATCAAAATACCATATTTTTCGGACTATAAGATGCACCGGAGTATAAGATGCATCTTAGTTTTTAGGGAGGAAAATAAAAAAGCTGATTGGGGGTGGATCAGCCTCCCGGAATACCCCCAATCAGCTGTTCCCAGAGGTGAACTTTAGCAACAGATATGTTGGTTGTGAGCTCTGTGCCTTGTTTTTTTTTTCAGCCTCCGAAACCTCCATTTGAGAAGCTGGGTGGGGCTACATTTGGACTATAAGATGCACCCAGATTTTCACCCTCTTTTTGGAGGAAAAAAGGTGTGTCTTATACTCTGAAAAATACGGTACTTTATGCCACCATGCTTGAAATTTTAGGCTTGGACAACCTAGAACTACGCCATCTACGGTCTGACCTAAACGTAGTACACAAAATTATCTGCTACAACGTACTACCTGTCAATGACTACTTCAGCTTCAACCGCAATAATACACAAGCACATAATAGATACAAACTCAAGGTAAAATGTCAGTTCTTGTATTCCAAGAATGTTATTTTGGATAGTTGCTGTATAGGTAACCCTTTACTTCTGTAGGGTGTAATAGACATATTGCCAGTTATGTCAAAAGAGAGAGAGGAAAAAAACCTCTAGAGCCAAGACTCTGGGCAACCACATCAACAAATCCCAATTTTCTTGACAAGATTTTCTAAAGTAATTAGTCTTTGTCTCCTCTTTCCTGATGCTGAGAGTGGACGACTGGTCCAAGGTCACCTAGTCCATGGCAGGACTAAAAACTCATAGTCTGATTTCTAGGAATAACATTTGATTTGAGAGATACATAGATATTTTCCATTCTTTGCTGTAAAGTTCCCTTTTGTAGCTGCATATAGATCAAATAGCTTACAGTTAATCCTTGTGTAAAGACCACTCATTCAATGACATTTGAAATTATGATGCTGAATACGGGAGATTTCTGACCAGCCCTCATAGTTGTAACCTTTGCAATGTCCCCAGAATCAAGTGGTTGCAATTTAGATGCTTGGTAACTGGCTCACAATTATAATAGTCTCAATGTCTTGTGATCGTGTGATTGCCATTTGTCACCTTCTGACAAGCAAAGTTAATGGGAAAGTGGCTGGTGGTTGCAAATGATGATCATGTGACTTCAGGAAGCTGTGACTGCAGGATTCACCTAAGGAGAACAATTGGGACTGCCAAACTGCCATCATAAATTGGTGTAGTCACTCGACATTGAGCTTGATGATCAGGTTGGCATAGTAAATCAAGTTCCTGATTTCAATTACCATTGGTAAGCGAGGATTAACTTTTACAATGAGGCAACATATTAGGATTGAATTATGCAACCCTAATTAAGTATGATCGATTGGAATGTCCAATGTTTTTGGTGGCATGATTATAGTTATATTTCTGAGAAAGAAGAAAAAATTATCAGTTTGGGGTAAAAGCCTTAAGCAGATTCAGTAACGGCAGCTGTGTTGGGGCAGTCATATTGCAGGCTGACTCTGCCCACTGCCAGGAGTTCGATCCTGATTGGCTCAAATGGCCAAGTGCCCAAAATGCAATCATGTGACCATGGAGTGTGTGTGACACTTTACAATGGCCAGAAGTGTTTGATAGGTTGTAAACCACCCTTTCCAAGGCTATTGTCACTCTGGACAGTTGTTAAAATGACTTGTTAACCAAGGACTATCTGTAAAGGATTTTTTCCAGACTGACCTCAACTGATTAAATAGTTTTATGGACACAGAAAATGAGTACTAATTTCCTATACCAAAAAGTCCTGTTGCCTTTTTGGGGAAATAAAGCACCTTTGGGACAACCATGACCACGATAACTGAGAATCTTTATAGACACTTATTTAACGTCTTGGTCTTTTTTCCCTTTCAGGATTTATTTTGCAGTTGCCTGAATATTTTGAAGGAGGAAAGAGATGAGATTTTGCAAGTTCAGTCATACATGGAGTACGAATGCCAAAATCTAATCGTAGGTATCAGTTTTAACTAGGAATTGATAATAGTGCCTTTGAGTCCATCTTTACTGAGCCGAGGTGGCGCAGTGGTTAGAGTGCAGTACTGCAGCTACTTCAGCTGACTGCTAGTTCAGCAGATCAGCAGATCAAATCTCACCAGCTTAAGGTTGACTCAGCCTTCCCTCCTTCCGAGGTGGGTAAAATGAGGACCCAGATTGTTGGGGGCAATATGCTATTTAGTATATTGTCTTTGGTGTAAGCCGCCCAGAGTCCTCAGAAAGTGGGCGGCATAGAAATATGACTAAATAAATAAATAAATAAATACATCTGGTGAATACAAGCTCAAGTCCATGGCCTGTACAGTTTTCTTGGCAAGCTTTTGGGAAGTGGTGCTTGTCATGTTTTCCTAAGGCTGAGAGAATGGACTGGCCCAAATTTCCTCAGCTGGCTTGGTGCCTAAGACAAGGATTAGAATTATGTCTCCTGGTTTCTAGTTTTGTGCTTTTAATCACTATGTAAAACTTGCTGATAAATGGGAAATGAGTAGCTGTAATTAAGCCATGATATTCCCTATGACAAGTGGTGGGTTGTCCCCGGTTTGGACTGGTACGCAAGAACCAGTAGTAAAAAAGGTTGGAGGTTCCGCCCACCCACCACAACATCATCAAAAGTGATCTGTGTATGCGCAGAAGCGCAAACCCATGCACGAGCAAAGCAAGCACGCAAGCACGCTCCCGTTGGGAACTGGTAATAAAGGTAAGTAGAACCCACCCCTGCCTATGACACTGTGGAAGTGAAAGTTGGACTTTGAAGAAGCAGATCCAGAAAAGAAGAGTGACAAAGAGCATACGGAGAACAGGTGCAGGAATTGGGTATGTTTAGTCAATGAAAAGAAGAACTAGGGGTGACGTGATAGCACTGTTCCAATATTTGAGGGGCTGCCACAAAGAAGAAGATGTGGTCAGCCTATTTTCCAAAGCATCAAAAGACAAGATAAGCAATGGATGGAAACTGAAGAAAGAGAGAAGCAACCTAAAACTAAGGAGAAATTTCCTGACAGGAAGAACAATCAACCAGTAGGACATCTTGCCTTCAAAAGTCATGGGTGCTCCAACACTGGAAGTTTTTAAGAGCAGACTGGACAGCCACTTGTCTAAAATGGTATAGAGTCTCCTTAAGTAGGGATTTGGAGTAGATGACCTCCAAGGTCCCTTCCGACTCTTGTTATTCTATATTCTGTGAAAGTACTGACACTTTGAACTTTCCCGTTGGAGAAGATTCCTGAGAATATGTTTTATGTTTATGAAGTATGTTTTATGGAGCAAAAAATACAGTAAATACCTGGACTCTGTCTTTTTTTATAGCCACACCCGAAACAGGCAAAATACCTTAGCTTGACAACATTTTAGTCATGTAATCTCCTCTGTATGTAACAATTACCTATTTCAGCAAAGTTTACAAAGAAATTTAACACAAAGTGTTTTGACTATTCCAATATTGTTTCTTTGAAAAATAAGTTAAAGCTGATGGGATTTGCTACGGTTTGTAAATGTGTTTTCCCCTGTCTCTTTGGTTTGTTATAGGAGCAAATAGGAAGAAACAGAGAAACCATGAAAGCTGATTTTGAGGAGCTGCACCAGTTCCTTAAAGAACAAGAGAAGTTTCTGCTGACCAGGATGGAGGAGTTGGAAGATAACATTGCGCGGAAAAGAGAGAAGCATATTGACCAGGTCTCCAAAGAGCTCCGCTCCCTGGAGGCTGTCATCTGGGATTTGCAGGAGAAATGCCAGCAACCAATAAATGAACTCCTACAGGTAAGACAACAGGGTAGAAATGGGCAAGCATTCTTCCATCTATTCTTAGGCAGTGTTCCTTGGAGAAAAAAATGGGCATAAAAAAACAAAATATAGGGAGCGTGAGAGAGATGAATCACTGTCTCCAGTTCACTCACTCTCTGCCTCCATATTTGTTTGTTTATTTATTTAATATTGCCACATATTCACCGATGGCGACTCAAGGCGGCTTACAGAATATAAAACCACATTTAAAACAATAAAACTAATAAAAAGAATCAAATAAATTAATATAGTAAAATATAATAAAATCACCCACCCACCCTTCCCCGGCAACAGCAGATCACACGAGCCATTTAATGGGCTCCATCCCGCTCTGGGTTCCCCAGGCCTGCTGGCAGAACCAGGTCTTCAGCGCTTTCCGGAAGAGTGTTAGGGGGGGGGCCATTTTAATCGGGGGGGGGGGGGGGGGGATAATGTTCCAGAGAGAGGGAGCCACTATGGAGAAGGCCCTTCTTCTGGGTCCCACCAGGTGTATCTTCATAGGGGATGGGACCCTCAGCATTCCCTGCCTCCCCGCTCTGATGGGTCGGGTAGATGTGACCGGCAAGAGATGGTCACTCAGATAACCTGGTCCCAAGCCATGAAGGGTTTTAAAAGGGGACAACCAGCACCTTGAATTGCACCTGGAAGCAAATGGGCAACCAATGCAGCTCCCGCAGGAGAGGTTATACATGTGCACACCGGTGTCTACACAAAACCATGCGGGCCGCTGCTTTTTGCACCAACTGGAGCTTTTAGATGTTCTTCAAGGGCAGACCCATGTAGAGCGTGTTGCAATAGTCAAGACGGGAAGTGACTAGGGCATGAGTGACTATGAGTAGGGATTGTTGGTTCAGGAAAAGGTGTAACTGGCGCACAACCCGCAGTTCCGCAAAGGCCCTCCTGGCCACGACTGTCACCTGCTCTTCAAGCAGGAGACGTGAGTCCAGAAGAACCCCCAGATTACGCACAGGGTCTATTTGGGGTAGTGCCACCCCATCCAAGACCAAATTCTCCCTGAGCCAATTTTGTCCAATTCTTCTCATTTAATGTTTCTGATGATTGAAGACACACTATGAATATCCAGGATGTGAGACGTATCCATTGAATGGCACTGAGATCCCTCTTCTTTTTCTTTCCATCCATTCTAGGATGCTGGAAGCACCTTGAAGCAGTAAGTGACCTTACACTAGAAATTGATCTTCTTGGTCATTCTTGGTGGACCAGGTGGATCAGTGCAAAAGCGAACCAGAAGGATGGTAAACTTGTCTATTCATTGAGGGTTTATGCTGAACGTCTGTTGAGATAATTCTTCAACTTGATCCTAAATTGTGTGGAGTAGAAAGTAGATTAGGATCTACTAATGGATCATAGTAAATCATATCCTTGCCTCTTGATGGTCCAACAGTAGCATCAGCTGAAAAGAAATTCATCCTTTTATGTGAAAGGACTCAATAGCTTGATTTTGGTACTGATTACATATCCCAGATTGAATGGATGCTTAGAAGACATCCATGCAGTGGTGAAATCCTCTGCCGGCCGCTACTCTTTCGCTACCCGCGTATGCATGGAGCGCGCCAGATGCATGCTGCATACACGCATGCACAATGCATGCCAGATGCACACTGTGCCTGCATGCGCAGGGCACACCAAACGCACACTTCGCATGGAAAAAGGAGCCGTTTAAAGGTAAGTAAACAGCGAGGGGGGGGGGGACAGCTGTGCCGCACTATTTAGATTTAAATGCTGTGATTTTAGGCAATTATTGCTACGTTGGTGAGTTATGCATAAGCAAATCCTGGCATTGTGTGCCATATGAATTAGTCACACTCTGTAAAATGCTTTTGTTCCTCGTTTTTCTTTAAGTGATGTCTCCATGCATTCTGAATTGAATAGTTTGGTAACTACCGTATTTTTCGGAGTATAAAACGCACCTTTCCCCCCTAAAAGAGCGTGAAAATTTGGGTGCGTTTTATACATCGAATATAGCTCCGCCCAGCCTCTGAAACGGAGGTTTCAGAAGCTGAAAAAAGCCTCTTAAAGGGAGGTTTCAGAGGCTGAAAAAAAAGCAAGGCGCAGAACTCACAACCAAGGAACCTGTTGCTAAAATTCACCTCTGGGAACAGCTGATTGGGGGTATTCTGGGACGCCATCCACCCGCCAATCAGCTTTTTTCTTATTTTCCTCCCCAAAAACCTAAGGTGCATCTTATACTCAGGTGTGTCTTATAGTCCGAAAAATACGGTAGCTTTTATTTTTCCCCAGGTTCTTGACAAAAGACATATTTGGTAGCTCAGTGATGTTTCCACTGGAGCTAAAATGGGAAATCTGGGACCTGTGCGATTTAAGTGCCGTTTTGAAGAATGCCATGAAGCAATTTAAAGGTAGGAAATATGACTTGGAGGGCAGTACCCCAATTCTTTCTTTGCTTAATATTAATTGCTCTAAAAAGTTCACAGAACAGAGACCTAAAATCAGCCCCAGGAAACACTTGTATTCCAGAGGTCCCCAACCCCTGGGCCATAGCCCAATACTGGATTGCAGCCCATTACGAACTGGGTCATGCAAATAGCAGGCAATCGTGTACATGTGCAGCTGCACTTGTGGAGCTCAGGTGCTTTGGAGAATAGCTTGACTCCCTCTTCTTTGTGGAAACCCCTGAGATATCGGAACACTGCTATCATCTCACCCCTAGTCCTTCTTTTCATCAAACTAGGCATGTCCAATTCCAGCAACCGTTCCTTATATGTTTTAGCTTCCAGTCTCCTAATCATCTTTGTTGCTCTTCTCTGCACTCTTTGCAGAGTCTCCACATTTTCTGTAGCAATGTTCATTATTACTTTTTCCTCCACCAGATGCAATAAATTTTGGATTTCCGCTGCACAAAGGTAAGTTTCTGTGGCTAAAAAAAAGTCACATTCATAAACCTGATTAGGTTTTGGCACTGGGGCTCCATAGGGTGTGTTGTTAGTCAAGTCAAGATGTTAGCCACAATGGTGGGATCAAAAAATCGACTTTTTAAATATGAACTGTTGACATCTAGTTTTTGTCAGGGTTCCAAGTAACACCCCCAATGAAAGGAGACTCCGAGGTTAGAAGTTCCTCAAAGTTCCATTTTATTAGAGATGTCATATTGGCACATCTGGGAAAACCCAAATCTGAAAGCTTCCAGGTTTTCTCCACCCATAGGAAAGTCCAAGTCCCTGCCCCAGCACCCACATGTCCATCACATGGTCCAATCAATGCGCTGTCCCAACTGGAGATGCCTCCCAGTCACACCACTCCAGGTGCAAGGCAGGATGACCTTGACTCTCAGAGAAAAGAATGTTAGATATCTCTCCATACAATCTCCCCTCCCAGTTTCCCACAGCACTAAATATGGCAGCCCTGAAGATCCAAAGTAAAAGATGGCTTCCAGGACTGACAGTTGTGTTTGTAGAACTAGGCATCCTAGTGGTCTCTTCTAACTCTATAATCCTACGATGCAAAGATGGGTCTTCCATGAGAGTTTGGAAAGGACTGTAAAGAGTGCCACATCTGCTTATGTTAAGGTAAAGAGAAAGGTTCCCTCACACATACGTGCTAGTCATTCCCAACTCTAGGGGGCGGTGCTCATCTCTGTTTCAAAGCCGAAGAGCCAGCACTGTTCAAAGACGTCTCCGTGGTCATGTGGCCGGCATGACTAAATGCCAAAGGCGCACGGAACGCTGTTACCTTCCCACCAAAGGTGGTCCCTATTTTTCTACTTGCATTTTTTACCTGCTTTCGAACTGCTAGGTTGGCAGAAGCTGGGACAAGTAATGGGAGCTCACACTGTTATGCGGCACTAGGGATTCGAACCGTTGAACTGCTGACCTTTTGATCGACAAGCTCAGCATCTTAGCCACTGAGTCACCGTGTCCCTCTGCTCATGTTAGCGGGATGTAAAAGACAGGTTAAAACGGACAGAGAACCCTCATTGCCTTTTCAACAACTTCTTGTACTTTTTAAGGGTATGTGCATAACTTTATGTCATGGAACATTTGAAGTTTAGAAGGAATGTTTCTGAATGATATTGAAGGGCACCAAACTCAGAAAGGATAGTCTCGACATACAACCATTCATTTCGAAGTTAACAACGGCACTGAAAAAAGTGACTTATTACCATTTTTCACTTTAATGACCTTTGCAGCATCCCCATGGTCACATGATCAAAATTCAGATGCTTGGCAACTGGCTCGTATTTATGATGGTTGCAGTGTCCCGGGGTCATGTGACCACCTTTTGCTATCTTCTGACAAGCAAAGTCAAGGGGGAAGCCAGGTTCACTTAACAACCATGTTTTACGAACTTAAGATCTACAGTGATTCACTTAACAACTGTTTCAAGAAAGGTAATAAAATAGGGCAAAACTCATTTAACAAATGTCTCGTATAGCAACATAAATGTTGGGCTCAATTTAGGTCATAGGTCAAGAACTACCTCTATTCCAGAATCATATTCTGTGTATTTGTTTAATTTTTTGTTTGTTTAAATTTGTTTAAATTTGTTTAATTCCTTTTAAAAAATTTAAATTTTGTATGTGATGTTTTTATTCTTGGCTGTTCACTGCCCTGAGTCCAGTTGGGAGAAGGGCGGTATAAAAATCTAATAAAATAAATAAATAAATAAATAAATATTCATATTCTAGGCTCAGGAGACGAGCTTTGCTCACCTCTGGTGTTCTGCTCATGCTTGTTTTTCTATTTTTCCCCTTTGTAGCTCAAGTGACTTTGGATCCAGACACAGCTCACCCCAAACTCATTATATCTGAGAATCGGAAAAGCTTGATCCTGGGAAACTGGCCTAGACTTCATCCCCATTGCTCTAAAAGATTTGATCAATGTCTTTTCGTGCTGGGATGTGAGAAATTCAACACCGGCAGGTGCTACTGGGAAGTCACTGTAGACAATGAGGATGGCTGGGGCCTGGGAGTTGCCAAGGCCTCTGTGAAGCGCAAAGGGGTCATCTCCCTAGATCCCGCAGAAGGTATCTGGGCAATGGCGAAGTGGGGAGACCACTGTACAGTTCTCCTCCCTCCTCATTTCCCTGCCCTACCCATAAGGTGGGATCTCCAGAGGATCCGAGTATCTCTGAATTATATTGGAGGTCGGCTGTCCTTTTTTGATGCAGATAGAGGGGTTCTGTTAGCTGTTTTCTTAGGGGCTTCCTTTTCTGGAGAACCCCTTCACCCTTTCTTTTGGCTTCAGAGAAAAGCTCAACTCGTCCTCTGTTGTTAAGATGGTTCGATCTTGCTCGTAGGCCATACTCTTCTCAACACCATCACCTCCATAATTCTTAATCCAGTTCTCGGTTTCCTTCTACCTCATTTCCATATCATCCTAATCTTCCAGCTACTGAGGATTGAAAAGGCCCAATTTCTGTGTTTATGAGGGCCTGATTAGTAAAGCAGCCATCCTCGGTCTGGTATGTTGGAGAAGAACATCTAGAATTCTCAATGTTGAAATCCAGTCCACCTAGAAGATACCTAGTTCTGGAAGGATGACTTAATGGAGCTCCTCACTAAGCGAGAAGCTTCTTTTCAAAATCTCTGAGAAGAGAGAGGGTAATCCTTAACTTGGGTTTTGTCAGGGATTAGTAATGTTTGAAGAGTTGGGAGCCACAATTCATGTCTCCCAACTTTCTAAAAGGCTGCAGGAGACATTCTGGTGGGCTATGAATAATGAACATCGCCAATATTTCCTGCTGTTTAAAGCTTGGGAAGGAGGCCTGTAGAGGCAAATCATTTTCATTCCCATTTGCAACTATCCAAAACCTGACAGGTAAGAAACCTTCCAGGAAAATCCAGCCATTTTGGACAGGGGCTGTATGATTTGAGCATGCCGGGCCACTGTGTGGGAGTTGTGAGCTGCCTTCTCAATTTTTCTCACTCCATCTAAACCAAAGGGATATGGTTACCTAAAGCAGTGCCCCCCCTACCTTTTGGGTGGTAGGGATCAGTTCTGTGGAAAGTAGTTTTTCTGTGAATCGGGGGACAGGCATTGTTTCGCATGCTGCTTGGATCCCACACATGCGCAGATGGTGCTTCGCTCACTTGCATAGCCCAATTCCTGGTGGCCCATAGACAGTGGCCAGTCCGTGGCCGGGAGTTGGGGACCCCTAACTTAAAAAAGAAAGCTAATATTTGGAAAAGTATTGTGATTCCCTCTGTTGCTAGGTAACAAACTAGCTCGTAGAGCAGAACCAAATAGTACTTGGAAGATATGTTCTTTTTTCTGGTTTTTTAAAAAAAAACATTTATGGATATTGAATGTTCTGCAATAAATTAAACGTTCCTTTTGTTGTAGGTTTCCTGTGCTTTCCAAAATGCAGAGCGCTCTGCATCTAGAACTCCTTTTGTTCTTGACGATTGCTCCATCAAGGCATGTTGTATAATCTATAAATGGGTTGTCTCATGTCCTTACACTGCCTGTAAAATAGCCTAAGCTGAAACAGTTGTTCCACAGAAAGGGGCAGATACACATGCAGTAGGACTAAGCATACCAGCTTCATACCAGAAAGAGCCGTGGTGGCACAGTGGTTAGAAATCAGGTTAACTTTTATTCCACTTTCTAATTTCCTGGAACACAGAATTCCAGTTCATAATAAAGTCCTTGCAGTGAGGAACGGGCAGTGTCACAAGGTTCTTTGTGGTTTACTACTGAAACTGATCTTTTGTATTTTATTTGTGACTTGGATATTCTTTTACCAAATTTGAAGATAACCCCAAAATGACTGGAATAGCTAACACAGGAGGAAAGTTAACAAATTCAAAATGATTTAAAACCAATAAAGGAAATTTAAGCTGCACCAACAAATATAATTTCCAAACGACAAGAAATAATACTTGCAGTTTATTCTACACCAGGGATGTCAAACTTACATCGTCACGTGATGTGTTGGGACTTTTCCCCCCCTTTTGCTAAAATGGGCATGGGCATGGCCACCACGTGTTGCATATGACCCGCGGGCTGGAAGCTTGGCAGCCCTGTTCTACACTAATCAGAGCATGCCTTGAATATGATAGCTGCTTCTGAAATCACAGAGGAAAAAATAAAATAAAGAGTAACTGAAATCAAAGGAAGAAAGGAGGATGACCAGGGAAACAGGATACTGCATTGGAGGTTTAAAAAGCAGTTTCAGGCTAATAGTGTGTTTGTGTGTATTGTGGGTTATTAAAGTTACTTTTAAGAAAGTGCAGAGGTTCCAAATTCAAATTAGCCTGAATATCACTGTCAGATTTTTTTTATGATAGCCAGGTTGCCATAATGTGCCAGGCCATCATGCATCATGTATATTGAACTTTAATTATCTGTCTATCTTCCTACCTCATCTTATCTACCTTTGTCTCTAGCCTTTCATCTATCTAAAACATTGGATTCCCTTTTAGAATTCACTATCGGGTACTTCTTGGTGTTCACGTCAGGTCTCAGGATAATGGAGTTATAAATCATGTTTTAACACTGTGTCTGACTTATCAAATAATAGGCAGCAAAATATGGTTTAGTGTGCTGTGTCAACTTAATCACTATTTAAAAGGAATAGAAGATCATGTATATTTATCTTTATCTCCTAGTTTTCTACTTTCCTTCTACTTATCTACCAACCCTCCATCCTTCCATCTACTTGTGGAAAACATTAGGTTCCCTTTTTAGAATTCACTATTAGGTGCTCCTTGGTGTTCATGTCAGGTCTCAGGATAATGATGTAGCATTTGGGAACAAAGATGCAGCCCATTAAGCCCAGGCTGGATGCCAGGATGGAGAAGATCTGCACAGCCACCATGTATTTTCCTTTGGTGCTCAGGTAGGTGGGCACAAAGGAAATCCAAACACTACAGAAAACCAACATGCTGAAGGTGATCAACTTGGCTTCATTGAAGGTCCCTGGCAGCTTGCGTGCTAGGAAAGCCACCAAGAAGCAGATGGCAGCCAGAAGGCCCATAAAACCCAGTGCAATGTAGAACATGACAATTGACCCTTCGTTACATTGTAGCAGGATATACCCTGGTTGAGAATGCATGTCAGAGACTGGGAATGGGGGAGATATTCCAAGCCATATCATGCAGATGCCCACCTGAATCCCAGAACAGGATACAACAATAGAGTTGGCCAGAGTCTTTCCCAGCCATTTCCTCATCCTGCTGCCTGGCTTTGTGGCCAGAAATGCCACCACCACCATGACAGTCTTTGCCAGCAATGAGGATACAGCAACTGAAAAAACAACACTGAAGATGCTTTGTCGAAGAAGGCAGGTCACTTTCTTGGGGCGCCCAATGAATAGAAGAGAGGTCAAGAAGGAAAGGAGAAGGGAGATCAGAAGAATGTAGGTAAGGTCCCGGTTGTTGGCTTTGACTATGGGAGTTTCTCTGTATTTAATGAAGATTCCCAAAACAAAGGCAGTGATTAGGGACAAAGCAAGGGTAAAGGAAGCCAGAATGAATCCCAATGTTTCTTCATAGGACAAGAAACTTATACTTTTGGGGACACACTGATTCCGCTTCTCATTGGAATACTGGTCATCTGGACATTTGCTGCAATGGGCTGCATCTGAAAAACATTGGTTATATGTAAGTGTTTCTTCAACTAAACATAAAAACGTGCAACTGGAACCAATACTTTCTACAATACCTAAAACATGTTCTTGAAAGTGATGGGGTAGGAGAGGATATTGGGAGAACTGGAGAACTTATTAGAAAATACTTTCCCACTATACTTCGTGAAAGCCTAAGTTGGATCATAAGAAAAAAAATTCATGAATGATAAATGAACAATATATAATAAGGTGTTCTATGGTACAGGTAGATGAATATCATCTGAAAGAAATAAAAGTGTAGTGCACCATTGTCTTTGGAATCCTACTACAGGTTCTTGATTTCCTTTTTTTCTCCAGAGCCACCTACCTTCTTCCACTGAGAATGTCCCTTCCATACATAGAGAACAGTCATAGCAGCAAACAGGGGCTCCTTCTCTCACGAGCTTGGCATATCCTGGGTAACAACTGTCTGTACATCTAGAAGAAGGCACTGCCTAAACAAAAAAAAAATGAAATAAAGATACCACATGAGTTACAGTAAGGTAAAGGTAAAGGTTCTCGCACATATGTGCTAGTCGTTCCTGACTCTAGGGGGTGGTGCTCATCTCTGTTTCAAAGCTGAAGACGTCTCTGTGGTGATGTGGCTGGCATGACTAAATGCCAGAGGCGCAAGGAACACTGTTAACTTCCCACCAAAGGTGGTTCCTATTTTTCTACTTGCATTTTTTTACGTTCTTTCGAACTGCTAGGTTGGCAGAAGCTGGGACAAGTAACGGGAGCGCACCCCATTACGCGGCACTAGGGATTCAAACTGCTGACCTTTTGATCGACAAGCTCAGCGTCTTAGCCACTGAGCTTGTCCCATATGAGTTACAGCAGAGGGGTTTATTTCAAAGAATCTGTTTCAAGAACCAAGGAGCTCATGAAAAATTGGAGAAAACAAGGAGTACCAATATAACAGTTACTGATCTGTCCATTCCCACATCTCCTTTCCTTTCTAACTCGAAGAGGTACCATCTACCATCAACCTTTAGGGGAAATGATCCAGGGATAAATTGGAAAAGTAGCTATGGTATGTGTGTGAATGCTATACATTGTATTTCCTCTATATTTTTGCTTTGGCAGAAAACCCCCAAAATCTGGCTTTGTCACTGGAAATGTCTCTGCATTCCTCTAGTTGAACATTGTATCATCATATATAAATGACTTGTCACAACTGCCAACATTTCTCCCAACAGATTCTTTATCTGACGCCTTTCTCTCATGTAATTCAATTGGTAGTGTAGCAGGTTCCAGTTTGTGATAAACTATTGAATTTTTTTTTTTCAATTACATGATCTCTAATGAATTACTGAGTTTTTAGTTTCCCTTATTTGGAGCAGGGGTGAAATCCAGCAGGTTCTAACAGGTTCTGGAGAACCGGTAGTGAAAATTTTGAGTAGTTCGAAGAACCAGCAAATACCATCTCTAGCTGGCCCCAGAGTGAGGTGGGAATGGAGATTTTGCAATATCCTTCCCCTGGAGTGGGGTGGGAATGGAGATTTTGCAAAAGGTTTACTCAGCCTTCCATCCTTTCTAAGGTAGGTAAATTGAGGACCCAGTTTGTGGGGGCAATAAGCTGACTTCGTATCAAATATACAAAAGTATGAAGGCTATTGCTTAACGCACTGTAAGCCACCCTGAGTCTCCGGAGAAGGGCGGCATATAAATCAAATTAAAAAAAAAATCCTTCCCCTGCCACGCCCACCAAGCCACGTCCACAGAACCGGTAGGGAAAAAATTTGGATTTCACCCTTGATTTGGAGGTTATTTCAGCTACCTTGTTAAATGATATTGGCCATTGAATGGCACTCTGATTAATGGAGACCTTGACTTCAAAGGTGGTTTCTCTTTCTATACTCCCAACTTTCACTGCAGGATAAGACTTTTGGGGAAACATTCTCAAGTGTATGATATCAAAGTCAATGGCAGGAACTCCATTTTCATCCAAATAAATGCCGTCATTGGAAATGTTGTGAAGCTGAAAGTTTCTCATGAACTGATGAAGCTGCAAAGACATAGAAAAATCACACAAGCAGCATACACATACCCATTTGAACTTTTATTCAATGTTCTTCTGGCTATTATTCTGGAAATGTATTGAATAATTCACACATTTCAGTTCAGCATTTTGGTTTGAAAAGGATGGTTCGGGATTTTCTTGGAAGCTTTTTTTGCTCCTTTATTGGAACAATATTTTTTTCAGATATGCCTTTTACTTTATTGAAGGAATCACTAAACTGACTTGCTAAACCATAGCTCAGCATAATAATTTTAAGGAAAATTAAAATTAATGCTGAAAGTTTAAATCTTTACTGAACTTATTCTGATGCAGAATAAAACTACTTGAAATGCTTAGGTTGGAGATTCTTATTCTCATAGATATATACAAGAGCCTGTAGTACAGTGGACTAAAGCACTGTTATTAACAACTGCTGCTTGCAATTACTGCAAGTCTCACCAGGCTCAAGGTTGACTCAGCCTTCCATCCTTTCAAAGGTAGGTGAAATGAGGACCCAGATTGTGGGGGCAATAAGCTGACTTTGTATAAATATACAAAAGTATGAAGGCTATTGCTTAACGCATTGTAAACCACCCTGAGTCTCCGGAGAAGGGTGGCATATAAATTAAAAGCAAAAAAAAAAAGTGTGTAACAAACTGGTTTTAACAAACTGTAAATAAACTGAATTCTGTACTGGAATAGATATGTATTTTAGCTATCTACCAGTATCAGAACCTGATCTGAGGATTGCTGGAGCATCCTGAAGCTTATTTAATTTGCAAATGGGGGAGAAAAAAGTACTTTGTCATCATGGAGATATCTGTCATTACAGCATCCCTTCATGGATTACTGCCTTGTCATGGCGAAGGGGCTTGTGTAGCTCAATGAAGCTATGAGCTATGCTGTCCAGCACCACCCAAGACGGACAGGTCATAGCAGAGAGTTCTGACAAAATGTGATCCACTGGAGAAGGAAATGGCAACCCACTCCAGTATCTTTTCCATGAAAACCCTATGGACACTACCAAAAGGAAAAATGATATGATGCCAGAAGATGAACCCCTCAGGTCTGAAGGTGTCCAATATGCTACTGGGGAAGAGCAGAAGGCTAGTACTACTAGTGCCAGAAAGAGTGAAGTGATTGGGCCAAAGCCGAAAGGACGCTCAGCTGTGGATGCATCTGGTGGTGAAAGGAAAGTCCGATGCTGTAAAGATTTTTTCTCCATAGGAGCCTGGAAAGTAAGATCCATGCATCAAGGCAAGCTGGATGTGGTCAAACGAGATGACAAGACTGAACATTGACATCTTAGGAATCAGCAAACTAAAATGAACAGGAATGGATGAATTTAATTCAGATGACCATCAGATATACTACTGCGGGCAAGAATCCCTCAGAAGAAATGGAGTAGCCTTCATAATAAAAGAGTAGGAAAAGCAATACTGAGATACAATCCCCAAAATGACAGAATGATCTGAGTTCGAATCCAAGCCAAACCATTCAATATCACAGTAATCCAAGTCTATGCCCCAACCGCTGGTGCTGAAGAGGATGAAATTGACTGGTTCTATGAAGCCCTACAGCACCTTATAGAATTAATACCAAAAAATGATGTCCTTATCATCATGGGGGATTGGAATGCTAAAGTAGGAAGCCAAAAGATAATCAAAATAACAGGCAAGTACAAAATGAAGCAGGTCACAGGCTGATAGAATTTTGTCAAGAGAATACGATGGCCATAGCAAACATTCTTTTCCAACAACCCAAGAAACGACTCTACACATAGACATCACCAGACGGTCAACACAGAAATCAGACTGACTATGTGCTCTGCAGCCAAAGATGGAGAAACTCTATATAGTCAGTAAAAACAAGACCAGGAGCTGACTGTGGCTCAGATCATGAGCTTCTTGTTGCAAAATTTAGGCTTAAATTGAAGAAAGTAGGGAAAAGCACTAGGCCACTCAGGTATGAACTAAATCATATCCCTGATGAATATACAGTAGAGATGACAAATAGATTAAAGGAATTAGATCTGATAGACAGAGTGCCTGAAGAACTATGGATGAAGGTTCGCAACATTGTACAAGAGGTAGCAACTAAAACCATCTCAAAGAAAAACAAATGCAAGAAAGCAAAATGGCTGTCTCAGGAAGCTTTGCAAATAGCTGAGGAAAGAAGGGAAGCAAAAGGCAAGGGAGAAAGAGAAAGATACACCCAATTGAATGCAGAATTTCAGAGAATAGCTAGAAGAGATAAGAATACCTTCTTAAATGAACAGTGCAAAGAAATAGAAGAAAACGATAGAATAGAGAAGACCAGAGATCTCCTCAAGAAAATTAGAGATATGAAGGGAACGTTTCATGCAAAGATGGGCATGATAAAGGACCAAAATGGCAGGGACCTAACAGAGGCAGAAGAGATTAAGAAGAGATGGCAAAATTACACAAAAGAACTATACAAGAATGAGCTTAATGTCCCTGATAACCATGATGGGGTGGTCACTGACCTCGAGCCAGACATCCTAGAATGTGAAGTCAAATGGGCCTTAGGAAATCTGAGCAACAACAAAGCTAGTGGAGGAGACAGTATTCCAGCTGAGCTATTCAAAATCTTAAAAGACGATGCAGTAAAAGTGCTACATTTAATTTGCCAGCAAATTTGGAAAACTCAACAGTGGCCACAGGATTGGAAAAGGTCAGTTTACATTCTAATTCCAAAAAAAAAGGCAATGCCAAAGAATGTTCAAACTATCGCACCATTGCACTCATTTCACATGGTAGTAAAGTTATGCTTAAAATCCTACAAGCTAGTCTCCAGGAGTATGTGGATTGAAAACTACCAGAAGTACTGGCAGGATTTTGTAGAGGCAGAGGAACTAGAGATCAAATTGCCAACATACACTGGATCATGGAAAAAGCTAGGGAGTTCCAGAAAAACATCTACTTCTGCTTCATTGACTACGCTAAAGCCTTTGATTGTGTGGATCACAACAAATTGTGACAAATTCTTAAAGAGATGGGAGTGCCAGACCATCTTATTTGTCTCTTGAGAAACCTATATGCGGGTCAAGAAGCAACAGTGAGAAGTGGACAGGGAACCACTGATTGGTTCAAAATTGGGAAAGGAGTCCGCCAAGGCTGTATACTGTCACCCTGCCTATTTAACTTATATGCAGAAGACATCATGAGAAAGGCGGGGCTAGATAAATCAAAAGTTGGAATTAAAATTGCTGGGAGAAATATTAGCAACCTCAGATATGCAGATGATACCACTCTAATGGCAGAAAGCGAAGAGGAACTAAAGAGCCTCTTGATGCGAGTGAAGGAGAGTGTAAAAGTTGGCTTGAAACTCAATATTAAGAAAACTAAGGTCATGGCATCCAGCCCTCTCAATTCCTGGCAAATAGTTGGGGAAGAAATGGAGGTAGTGACAGATTTTATTTTCCTGGGCTCCAAGATCACTGCAGATGGGAACTTCAGCCAAGATATTAAAAGACGCTTGCTCCTGTGAGGAAAGCTATGGCAAATCTAGACAGCATTCTAAAAAGCAGAGACATCACCCTGCCAACAAAAGTGCGTATAGTCAAGGCTACGGTTTTCCTAGTTGCAATGTATGGCTGTGAAAGTTGGACCATAAGGAAGGCTGAGTTCCAAAGAATTGAGGCCTTTGAACTCTGGTGCTGGAGAAGATTCCTGCGAGTCCCTTGGACTGCAAGACGATCAAACCGGTCAGTCCTAGAGGAGATCAACCCTGACTGCTCTTTCGAAGGCCAGATCCTGAAGATGAAACTCAAATACTTTGGCCACCTAATGAGAAGGAAGGACTCACTGGAGAAGAGCCTAATGCTAGGAACCATTGAGGGAAAAAGAAGAAGGGGATGACAAAGAATGAGGTGGCTGGATGGAGTCACTGAAGCAGTAGGCATGAGCTTCAATGGACTCTGGGGGATGGTAGAGGACAGGAAGGCCTGGAGGAACGTTGTCCATGGGATCACGATGGGTCGGACACGACTTCGCAACTAACAACAACAACAACAACAACACAGCATCCCAAACCAGCATAGGTAATTTCAGTTTGGAAGAGTTATCCCTATAATGTCTCTCTCACTTGCAAATATTACAAACTGGGCAATTGCTGTTTGGAATATCACATCTCTCCCTGCATTCAATTTCATATGTATGAAGTAGAAGGGGAGCATCAGAGGAATCTCAAAGGAGAAGTCTTACCTGCCATGGCTGTACAATCTGGGGTGATTGATGGTCTCCAACCAGCATCCTCCTCTTACTTAGTTGAGAGGAAGAGGCAGCATTGAGGACGGAGGCCACAGCATGGATTGCTCTGGAAATACCGGAGCCATCCTCAGTTATTATACTTGCAAGCACATCATGGGGTGGTAATCGCCTGCTCTCTTTTTCTGTACATTTTTCCCAAACCTTTTTAGACAACACAGGCCTTGAAAAGGAACACTGGAATGCTTCCTTTACAAACTGTTTCTCAGTAGAGGAATATGAATTAAAGTTATAATATTGTCCCCTCTTTGTCTGGGTGAGGAAGGAAAACAAAACATGCTTACGTTGGAGATCAAGTTTGTTGGAAAACATTCTTATGCTTAAATAGGACAAAGTTGTTACAATCCACACTTTCCCCTCAATGAATTTATTCTTCCTTTCATTAACAATTATTATTGTTAGTAGCATTGCTGTGGCATGAAAATCTAGTTGACAAACTATAATTTTTATCTGGATATTAATAAGGAGAAGGAACATTTTTTTTTGTTCTTGCACAAAAAAATCTCCAGTATGTATATTCAGATTCGCTGCTGGGATGGTTTGTGAGAGGACGATGCAAATCCGATTTTTTACAGCTAGAGTTTCCAAGCTTCTTTTAAAGTTTTCTCCTCTTTCATTGTCCTGAGAAAAGAGGCCGATCCATGTCCATCGGAAATGCAAGAGAAGCTGGACAATGGCTGAGTAGGGAGGTTCTTGTTTTGGGGTCATCCGGTAGAAAAAAGGAAAATGATGACTTTGCTGAATGATGTGGTTGATAGCACCACAGTTGATCTGTGAGGAAAGAAGATAATGGTACTTTAGGAATAGCACTTAGACTTATGTACCAGTTCACAGTGCTTTACAGCCCCCTCTAAGCGGTTTATAGGGTCAACCTATTGCCCCCAACAATCTGGGTCCTGATTTTACTGACCTTGGAAGGATGTAAGGGTGAGTCACTCTTGAACCTGGTGAGATTTGAACTGCCAAATTGCAGGCAGCCGGCAGTCAGCGGAAGTAGCCTGCAGTACTGCACTCTAACCACTGTGCCACCACGGCTCATAAGATCATTTTAGCTTCCTACCTGTGGAATTTTGTAGATGCCCAAGACAGTAGAAATATGATCAAAGAGGTCAGAGTCTGTCTCTTCAAAAACTGCCAAGATATTCTGTTGTCTTCCACATCTGTAATTTGGGACATTCTCCTGCCCTGTAGACAGCAAGTCCATCATGACGTCATATGTTATCCTTGCATTGAGGAAATTATCATAGATGTTGTAGCCAAGGGTGATGTTTGGTAGGAGCCTAGAATTCTGGTTGATCTTATGAATAGCCAAGAAGAAGAGCAGGAGGTCATGGAATATTTTCGACTCACTGCAAAATAACATCTACTGTATAGAATGACTCAGGGCAGCTCAGAAACATTGATAAAACATGGTTAAAACTTACTCCTACTCTGGGAGCCAGGCCAGACATTCTCACAGTTCCACCCATCGTAGCCCAACCCTTGAGGAAGGAGTGAGGTCTTTGTACCCCCCCCAGAATTCTCAAAGGAGAGTTTTGCCACATGTACATATAGGTTCCTTATAATATTACATTATTTCTTCCTCTTATATCACCTAGAAAGTGACGTAAGGATGGATTCAAGTTCTGGATTCATTCAGTAAGTAGTATTATTCACTGTCCAGTACTCAACAAACCATCTTCAGAGCCAAGGATTGTTTTGCTGCAGAATATTGATATTTTTGGAGTTAGTGCCCTTTAGTCAAAAAATATTTAATGTGATCCTCTGTTAGCTATAACATTAGCTTATTATTTAAGGTCTCTATCCTTTGTGAATTTTGTCTTTAAAATAATAATAATAATAATAATAATAATAATAATAATAATAATAATAATACTGAAACATGGTGGCACAGTGGTTAGAGTGCAGTACTGCAGGGTTTCTGCTGACTGCCAGCTACCTGCAATTTGGCAGTTCGAATCTCACTAGGCTCAAGGTTGACTCAACCTGCCATCTTTCTGAGGTGGGTAAAATGTGGACCCAAACTGTTGGGGGCAAATATGCTGACTCTGTAAACCACTTAGAGAGGGCTGGAAAGTACTGTGAAGCGATATATAAGTCTAATGCTATTGCTATTTAAAGCAAAAGTAAAATGGAAGCCACAAAAGCTTATAAAACAGGTAAAAGACATCAGTTGGGAAAAAATGTTGGAAATGGAAGCAGGAAGGACGGAATGCAAGATAGGAAAGGAGAGGAGATTGTGGGATGCAAGCTGAAGAGGTCACCTTGAGTCATCTTACACATTGGCAAAAAAATCAGAACACAAAATACAAGCTGGGCGGATACGACCTAGCAGACGACCCTCACTCTGTCAAAGACCTTGGAGTACTCATCTCAAATGATCTAAGTACCAGAGCTCACTGTAACAGCAATGCTAAAAAAGCATTAAGAGTTGTTAACCTAATCTTGTGTAGCTTCTTCTCCAGTAATATTGAACTGCAAACTAGGGCATAAAAAACTTTTGCCAAACCAATTCTTGAATACAGCTCATCTGCTCTGGAATCTGCACTGCATGTCGGACATTAATGCAATCGAACGGATCCAGAGATATTTCACGAGAAGAGTCCTCCACTCCTCTGCTCACAACAAAATACCTTATGCAACCAGAGTTGAAATTTTGGGCTTAGACAACTTAGAACTTCGTCGTCTTCAGTCTGACCTAAGCGTAGTACATATAATCATCTGCTACAATGTCCTACCTGTCAATGAATACTTCAGCTTCAACCAAAACAATACAGGAGCACACAATAGATACAAACTCATGGTAAACGGATCCAAACTAGATTGCAGAAAATACAGTGATTTCAGTAACATAGTGGTCAATGCCTGGAATGCACTACCTGACTCTGTGGTTTCTTCCCCAAACCCCCAAAACTTTAACCTTAGACAGTCTATGTCAACCTCACCCCATTCCTAAGAGGTCTGTAAGGGGCGTGCATAAATGCACCAGTGTGCCTATTGTCCCCTTTAATTTGTATCCATCTCATGTATTCATAATTACGTCTATACTTATATCTATTATCTAATACATGCTTGACGAAATACATAAATAAAATAAAGAAAGAAATTTGACTGTGAGATTCTGGGCAGCTATATAACTATGAAATATAAACAAAAATAAATATTTTCTGAATCTCTACAATATCAAGGAAATCGTTTCGAGAAGAGGCAAGGGTTGCCTTAGAAGAATTCTGCCAAAATTGATTGATTAAAACGGGCCCTTGCAGGAGAACTGAAAAGGAACTTTGCAATGCTCAGCTTTTAAAGATCCATCGTGTGCCCCAGAATCCTTTCCCTTAAAGCAAATTGGAAGAAGCATTAATGACTTGTCCTTCTCAGGGTGAGGAATTGGGAAAAGGGAAAACATTAGAGAGGGTAAGCTCAATAACCGGAATCCCGTACATGCCAGCAAATTACCTTCTCAATCTGTGGGTTGGAGGCTTGGAGAAAACATATGGGTAAAATTGAGAAATTATTTTAGAAGTCATTCCAGTAATCAGGTAGTCTCCTGGCTTGTAGAAATTAAACTCCTTCAATCCTTCTATCACCATCTTCAATGAACATTTCGTCTGCATTGTTGCACAGGGGAATTGGGACAGAAGCAGAAGCAGAAAAATCTGCATTTTTTTTAAGCAGTAGCATTTGACGTATATATTGATGGAGGTCCTACATTGCTCTCTCTTTCACATTGTGGGATCTCAGAGCTCACAAAATAACTTCTGCGCAGTGAAGATTTTTCCAGTTTTGCCCCAGATCTGAAAGAGGAACCCACAGTTTCAAACTAGCACAGTGCTCGCCTATATTCTGCCTCTTCCCTCAGCAGTGTTTGAGGTAGATACAGGTCATTTACTTGTAGATCTTGTTGTATATTCCCTTTGCATTGCATTCAAACTAAATGTGGCAGTGGAAATCCCATAAGATTTTTAAAAAATAGAATAAATCACCGTGATTTTAGTAATTAGAAGGGAGATGGGAATGACTGATGCAACAGTGGTGTGTAGTTGGAGAAAATAATTTTGCATTGCGCAGGGTTAGAGTCTGAATTTAAGAGTCAGGAGGGGAACAATTCAGGGGCCTTTGACTGCCTTTTGCCTTAGAAACCTATTCTTGTGGGCCTAAAGATTGTCATGTGGTAAAACAATGGAATACTTTTTCACTAGCCAGTGGGGACATTATAATTCACTTTGTCTGGTACTGATCAAACCTTCCTGAACAAAGGTAAGATATTCCAGAAAATTAACCCAAGAGCAACATTATTTTTCATGAAGACTTTGCTGAATATTGCCCTGTATGGGTTTGTAGTATGAGTAGGTCAGTGGTGGGTTGCCCCCGGTTCGGACCGGTTCGCAAGAACTGGTAGTAAAACTGGCGGGAGGCTCCGCCCACTGCCCTGGATGTCATCATAGGTGATCTGCGCATGCACAGAAGCTTCTGCGCATGTGCAGAAGATTGGCGCGCACACAAGATCCCGTTGCGAACCGGTAGTAAAGGTAAGTAGAACCCACCCCGGAGTAGATACTCAGGGATTAATTGATCAATTATAGGCTGCCATTTGGGTATCTAAGGGACACAGTGGCTCAGTGGCTAAGATGCTGAGTTTGTCAATCGAAAGGTCAGCAGTTCAGCGGTTCGAATCCCTAGTGCCGCGTAATGGGGTGAGCTCCCGTTACTTGTCCCAGCTTCTGCCAACCTAGCAGTTCGAAAGCACGTAAAAAATGCAAGTAGAAAAATAGAGTCCATCTTTGTTGGGAAGGCAACAGCATTCCGTGCGCCTTTGGCATTTAGTCATGCCAGCCACATAACCACGGAGGCGTCTTTGGACAGTGCTGGCTCTTCGGCTTTGAAACAGAGATGAGCACCACCCCCTAGAGTCGGGAACGACTAGCACATATGTGCGAGGGGAACCTTTATCTTTTTGTTGGGTATCAACAACTAGTGACATGATAGCTAGACCTTCTCCAATATGGAGCCTCTGCAACATGACAATTTAAGTATCTCAGTGACAATATGAGATTCTAATTGAGTCCATTCACCTTTTCTGAATATTGCCCTATTTGGGGACATTATTCCAGTCTGGTATTCATTGAGAGCAGTCTCGTATAAATCAGCACATGCTGGGAAAGTATATATTGCTCTGAATGTAGCTAGCAGAATTATTACCGGATACTTTAAAATTACCCCTCCTGAAAGGCTACATTTACAGCTCACAGCATGATGACTTTTGGCTGGTCACAAGCGGCTGAGAAAATGAGTTTTGTTATGTATTGTATATAGCTGTCAGTTGAAGTTCTCAGTCTGGTCCTCTGTTGAAGAGGGAAAATACTCTCCTGATTGGTTGTCGGCTGATCAACTTCCCTATAAAAGGAGCTATGTCAGCCAGTTGCCTCACAGGCAGTATTGAATAAAGAGCCGTTAGAAATCACTCTGGCCTCACCTCCATTCTTCACCCAGAACATGTTTCTTTTAACTGCTGATAAAAATCAACTGTCTGTAGTCCATATGGACATTTGTCCAGTTCTCCCTTCCTTCCAGAAAGAATTTGGCAGCCAGGACCTTGCAGACAGCTGCCAATTTTGACCAAAATGCCTTGGCAGTAAAATGTGGGCATTCTGCTCACCTCAACATAAACTTTCTCCAAAAAGGAAGAAGTTTAGAATGACAAATATGGTCAGAATGCAGACTCCTGAGCAAGAGCTCAGACACTGATGTACAAGGCAGATTCTCAGAATCTTAGTTGCTATAGAACAGTGATGGCGAACCTTTTTGCGTGCCAAAATTCCGAGCGCGCTTGTACTATCACATTTGCGCATGCCAGCACCCATAATGCAATACGCACTCCATTTGCACATATGCACATGAACCTCCCCCCATGCATGTGCCCTGCACTGCACATGCGCACCCCTCTTTTTCCAAGGGGGCCAGCACGCCTCTTACCAGAGGACAACCAGATACTGAACTGTTCCCTGGTGAAACAGCCATTCCCTGGCCGGTAGCAGCGCTCTCGGCCCCGCCATGTGCCAACTGGGGAAGCTCCGAACAAGGGGGTGGTGGCTGAAAGGATGGACGAGCTGGGACTTCCTTGTCTCCCCGCATGAGCAGGCTTCTGGCATGGCCCCAGGCCTGGGTGGGGGGGATTGAAGCCCCAGCACACCCATCCTTTCTGCTGCCACCCCATCGCCGCCGGCGCTTCTCACTCTACCGCTTCCCACTCAGTGGCAGGAGCAGCCAGCAGCAGGCTTCAATCCCTCCCCCAGAGGCCTGAAATGAAATGTACTTTTTTGGCCTCTGCACGCCCCATTTTTGGATTTGGAGAGGAAAGGGTTTTCGGGCGGCAGCGCTGCGATCTTCTCCCCAAATCAAAAAAGTGCATTGTGTTTCAGGCGGCAGATCTGGCCAGGAGGAAAGAGAAGGTGAGTCTGCGGAGAAGGAGGAGAAGGCTCCCTTTTTGGATTTGCTGGAAAATGCTTTCCTGTGTGGTCCTCCGATGCACATTGCACAACCGCGCGCCTTCCTCTTCCTTCTCTGCAGAAGGCCGCCTGAAACACAGTGCACTTTTTTGATTCAGGGAGGGGATCTCAGTGCTGCCGCCCGAAAACCCTTTCTTCTCCAAATCCAAAAACCGGCGGCTCCTCCTCCTCCCCCTGCCAGCCTCAATGTAAATCTCAGGGTTTGCCTACAAGGGGGGTGGGGGAGAAAAAGTCCTGGATGAGGAGGAATCCTCTTTGCAGAAGCGGCTCCCCCTGCCAGCCTCAATGTAAATCTCGGGGTTTGCCTTACAGGGGGGGGGAAGAAGGGTCCTGGGGGGTGGGAACGTCCGTGGTGCCAGTGACTGCAGCCGCACTCTGAAGAAGCCCTGTTGGAGCCGGTCAGGCAATTTCCAGCATGGTCTGCGCTGGCGGGGCGCAGGGCTTGCCTACATAACTTTGCCGGCAAAGAGGCAGCGGTGGAAGGCCATTTGTGCCAGCAAAGAGGCAGTGACGCCAGCAAACTTATGTGGGCAAGCCCCTTGCCCCAGTTCCGTGGGCCTGCAGAGCTGAGCGTCTGGCATCCTGCTTCTCTTGCGCTGGCCACCATCTTGCACATGGCTGATCGGTGCTCCAACGGGGCTTTTCCAGAGTGTGGCTGCAGTCACTGGCACCACAGATGTCTCTCCCACCAGCACCTTTCTCCCCCCCAACCCCCCAGTAAGGCAAACCCTGAGATTTACAGCGAGGCTCGTAGGGGGAGGAGAAGGAGGACCCGCCATTGCCTCTGCAAAGAGGATTTGCCCCCAACCAGGACCTTTCTCCCCTCCCCAAAGGCAAACTCCGAGATTTACAACGAAGCTGGTAGGGGGAGGAGGAGCCGCCTCCACCTCTGCAAAGAGCATTCCCGTCTTTCTCCCCCCTCCCTCAATAAGGCAAACCTCGAGCACAGACAGCAGTGCAGGCAAAGAGGCAGCACTGGTTTGCCGGCATGAACGGCCTCCAACGTGGATCCCAGGAAGTGGCTGTCAATGGCATGGCTGGTGCGCATGCGTGTTAAGAGAAGCTTCCCAGCATGTACCGGGAAATAAACTTCTGGTTTCCGGTGCACGCATGTGCATCAGCCCCCTAGTCTTCTGGTTACTGACGAGCATTCGTGTGGGACGATCAGCTAGTCAGCTGATCTTCTGGTTTTTGGCACAGCCGCATGCGAGAAGTCCTGCGGATCATTGCACACACATGCGCACCAGTAACCAGAAGACTAGATGGCCAGTGCGCATGCGTGTGCCAGAAACCCAGAAGAGGAGTGGGCACCACTGTGCGTGCCAGTCAACATGGCTCCGTGTGCCACCTGTGGCACGGGTGCCATAGGTTCGCCATCACGGCTATAGAATAATGTCAGTGTGTTTAAGATAAAATTGGGCTTTGGTTGTGCTTTGAATAAACTACTGTATATGCCCAAACTGTTGCATTGGTGGGGGTATAAACTAAGGCGAGTATTTATATATATATATTTAAATATATTTTTAAAGCTTTAAAATATATTTAAATATATTTTTAAAGCTTTTTTAAAAAAAATAAATGTTCATCTCCACCTGTGTCTTGACTTAAGGCATAATGTCTAGCAGAAGCTAATATTTAGGGGCCTATCTGGTCTCTAACAACTCCTCCTTTCCCTGCACTTGATTTCCTTGAGGTAGACCTCTCATCTTAAAACTTCTTTCAGGGCTGCTATAAGACTGCAGGAAAAAATCATTTACTTTTTGCTAGAAGGGCTGAAGGTTTTTTTTTTTTTTAAATAAACCTTTATTAACATTTAAAATCCAAAAGTACAAGTTAAAATACACCTATAACAAAAATACATCCGTAACAATTATACAATTCAAGGTCTTTCTGACAGTAAGTAATTCTCAACTTTCTTCAACTTTTCCCACATATTCCTACTTAATCAACATATTTAAACACATTTTATATCTTATTTTTTTCTGTACATTCCTTATTTTTAATTTCTATCCATTGAAGGTTTTTTTAAACTTTTTTTTTACCAGGTGATAAACAATATAAATGAAATGAGGAGTCTGCCGAATGTCAGCGGCCTTGTGTGGGGAGCCCAAAGAAGCATGTAGTTGTGGGATTGGTTGGTGCCACCAGATGGTTCCCTTCCCTTTTTTAAACTTTGATTAACTACTCTTGCATCATTATCTTTTAATCACTTTTTAAATTTTTAATTCCAAATATTTCAACTCTTTAACATTTTAATTTTCGTGTAGTTTTATATGATGTTGTTTTACTTTACACCACCAGAATCCCTCTTTGAGGGAGATGAAAATGTCCCTCAAAATGTGAAATATAAATAAAGAAAATGTGAAAAAGTGGGACCCTGAATTTGTTAGACCTTTGGACTTTAAACTGCATCAATAAATATAGTTTCCAAAACACAAGAAGAAATAGTTCCAGTTTATTCTGCGCCAGTCAGAGCTTGCCTTCAATATGATCTCTACTGCTGAATCCCACAAGTGAAAAAGAATTCAGAGACATTGAAACAGATGAATGGGAGAAGGGAGGATGATCAGAGAAAGAGGCTGCTATACTGGAGGCTTAAAAAGCAGTCTTAAGCTAAGTGTGTGTGTGTGTGTGTGTGTGTGTGTGTGTATGAATTGTGGACTGTTATAGATAACATTCAAGGAAGTGCAGTGGGATAGAATTCACAATACCTTGAATACCACTGTCAGATGTTTCTATAATAACAAGATTGCCATAATGCACCAGGGCCATCATGGAGTTTATCTGATGTAAGGACTAGCATTTTATGGGAATCCTGTCATAAATCATGTTTTAACACTGTGTCTGACTTATCAAATAATAGGCAGAAAAATATGGCTTAGTGTGCTGTGTCAACTTAATCACTATTTAAAAGGAATAGAAGATCATGTATATTTATCTTTATTTATCTCCTAGTTTTCTACTTTCCTTCTACTTATCTACCAACCCTCCATCCTTCCATCTACCTGTGGAAAACATTAGGTTCCCTTTTTAGAATTCACTATTAGGTGCTCCTTGGTGTTCATGTCAGGTCTCAGGATAATGATGTAGCATTTGGGAACAAAGATGCAGCCCATTAAGCCCAGGCTGGATGCCAGGATGGAGAAGATCTGCACAGCCACCATGTATTTTCCTTTGGTGCTCAGGTAGGTGGGCACAAAGGAGATCCAAACACTACAGAAAACCAACATGCTGAAGGTGATCAACTTGGCTTCATTGAAGGTCCCTGGCAGCTTGCGTGCTAGGAAAGCCACCAAGAAGCAGATGGCAGCCAGAAGGCCCATATAACCCAGTACAGTGTAGAACATGGTGACTGAACCTTCATTACATTGCAGCAGGATATACCCTGGTTGAGAATGCATGTCAGAGTCTGGGAATGGGGGAGATATTCCAAGCCATATCATGCAGATGCCCACCTGAATCCCAGAACAGGATACAACAATAGAGTTGGCCAGAGTCTTTCCCAGCCATTTCCTCATCCTGCTGCCTGGCTTTGTGGCCAGAAATGCCACCACCACCATGACAGTCTTGGCCAGCAATGAGGATACAGCAACTGAGAAAACAACACTGAAGATGCTTTGTCGAAGAAGGCAGGTCACTTTCTTGGGGCGCCCAATGAATAGAAGAGAGGTCAAGAAGGAAAGGAGAAGGGAGATCAGAAGAATGTAGGTAAGGTCCCGGTTGTTGGCTTTGACTATGGGAGTTTCTCTGTATTTGGTGAAGATTCCCAAAACAAAGGCAGTGATTAGGGACAAAGCAAGGGTAAAGGAAGCCAGAATGAATCCCAATGTTTCTTCATAGGACAAGAAACTTATACTTTTGGGGATACACAGATTCCGCTTCTCATTGGAATACTGGTCATCTGGACACTTGCTGCAATGGGTTGCATCTGAAAAACATTGGCTAGCGTGAATCTGATTCTTCAGCTGTAAGATCACAAAATATACAATTCAAATCAATTATATCTACAATGCGCAAAACTCATTTTTGAAAGTGATGGGGTGGTATAGGATTTGGGAAAGCTGGAGAACTTATTAAAAAAACATTTTCCCACTATACTTCATGAAAAGTGTAATGTAAAAAGTATTAAATGAGAAAAAATCATGAATGATGAATGAACAATGTGTAACAGGGAGGAAGTTCTATGGCATATGGAATTGAATATGATCTGAAAGATGAATCTGTGGTGTAGTCTTCTGAATCCTACTACAGCTTCTTGACTTCCTTTTTTTCTCCAGCACCACCTACCTTCTTCCACTGAGAATGTCCCTTCCATACACAGAGAACAGTCATAGCAGCAAACAGGGGCTCCTTCTCTCACGAGCTTGGCATATCCTGGGTAACAACTGTCTGTACATCTAGAAGAAGGCACTACCTAAACATAAAAATAGTGATAGAAATTAAGGTACCACACGCGGTACAGTAAAGGGGTTTATTTCAAATAACCCATTTCAGGAACTTGTTGTGACCTAGGCTCAATTAGGCGTTACCAGACACAATTAGTCTTAAACAAACCTATTTTATTATAACAGCTGGGAATTACTTCATTCCCAGCTTAGTCCATATTAATTCCAAAACAAGTCCTGCAGAAAAAAGTCCTTCGGCTTATCACAGACCTTTATCTTCTTTGGCACCCTGTCAAAGGCCTTTCTTGGCAAAGCCCCACGAAGTTCAGAAACAAGAGATGCTGACTGAAAAACAGATTTAGCAACGTTGCTTTCCTACAAAGAGCCCAAGAGCCTTTGCTGCTCTTTTAAGCCTGATGGGAGGGGCCAATCATCTCCTGGCCTTACTCTTGAGTTGTCCTTTTTGTTTTAGCTGCTCTTGCCTTCTGGCAGCTCTGCACATGCATGCACTAGAAATAGGCTCCTTCTATTCCTCTGCCTCTCTGCTGTCCGACTCTGCAGTCGGAGTCAGCGCATCACTCCCAGATGGCCCTGGTCTAGGGCTGGGTTCTACTTACCTTTACTACTGGTTCGCAATGGGGCCACATGCGCAGAAGCTTCCTGGTGACATCAGGGTCGGTGGGCGGAACCTCCCACAGGTTTCACTACCGGTTCTATAGAACCGGTCCGAACCAACCACTGCCCTGGCCCCATCTCTGCCTCCAATGCAGAGCCCTCGTCTGGGCCTTCCCCAGACTCCAGGACTGGCCCCTGGTTCTCCCCAGCCTCCTCACTGTCCGACTGCTGCTAGCTCCGCAGGCTGCTGGAGGACCACAACAGAACTAAGTGTCAGCCCTGGAGGCCATCTTTCTCTTTGGATCTTCAGGGCTGTCATATTTAGTGCAATAGGCCTAGTGTGGGAAACTGGGAGGGGGTTTTGCATGGTAGAGATAGATAGTCATAACTGACATGCCTCGGAGTCTTACTTGGTTGGGGGTGTTACTTGGAACCCTGACACCAAGGAGCTCAGGAAAAAAATGGAGAAAACAAGGAGTTCTGATACAGCAGTTAGTGATCAGTTCTCCCATCTCCCTTCCTTTCTAACTGGAAGAGGTACCATCCTTTAGGGAAAAGGATCCTGGGATAAATTAGAAAAGAAGTTATGGTATATGTGGGAATGCTATATATTTTATATTTTTCTCTAATTTTTCTTTTGTAAAAAAAACAACTCTAAAATACAGTTCTTGAAAAGAACATTGTTTAATAGCTTATTAATTATGATATTGTATTTCAGAATAATAATAATGTGGATGGTAAAGGCCTCAATGCAATTTATGGTGTAGCAGGTTCCAGATTGCGATAAACTACAGAAAAAACATCTTGAAGTTACAGGATATCTAATGAATTAATGGATTTTTAAAAAAGTTTCCCTTATTTGGACATTACCTCATTTGTCCTGAATGAGAATTATTACTGAACAGAACAGTTTGGATATATGGAGGTAGTTGGAAGGGTTAAACCCAAGAAGATGAACTACCTTGTTAAATGATATTGGCCATTGGATGACACTCTGATTGATGGAGAAGTTGATTTCAGAAGAAGCTTCCCTTTTTACACTCCCAACTTTTTCCATAGGATAAGACTCTTGGGGAAACATTCTCCAATGCATGACATCAAAGTCAGCAGCAGGAACTCCATTTTCATCCAAATAAATGCCGTCCTTGGAAATGTTGTGAAGCTGGAAGTTTCTCACGAAGTGATGAAGCTGCAAAGAGATAGAAATCAAATATGTAGCATAGGCATCTTTAGTTGAATCTTTAACCAATGTTTTTCTGGATATTATTCTGGATTGGAAATGCATTGAACAATTCTCCTTCTTCAGCTCAGCACTTTGGTCTGAGAATAATTCTGTATTTTCTAATAAGCTTCTCTTGCTCCTCCTCTATGGAAAACCAGATTTTTTTAAAAAGATAAATACCTCTCATTTTATTGAAGGAATCACTAAAGTGACCAGTTAAACCAGAACTCAACATAATAATTTTAAGAAAAAATTAAAATAAAATAATTTTGAAGTTTTAAAAGTTTACTAAATCTCATTAGATACAAGAGTTTCTCTGTTATATTGCATGTGATATTGTTAGTTTTTATGCTGTCTCTCTATCTATCTATCCCTCTATTTCTGTCTCTGTCTCTCTGTCTCTCTCTCTCTCTCTCTGTCTCTCTCTGTCTCTGTCTCTCATCTTTCTCTTTCTTTCTTTCTTTCTTTCTTTCTTTCTTTCTTTCTTTCTTTCTTTCTTTCTTTCTTTCTTTCTTTCTTTCTTTCTTTCTTTCTTTCTTTCTTTCCAGCTAGCAGGGAATAAACATCTCTTTACTAAATTGTTCCTCTGCAGGAAGCAAGCCCAACTGTGTATTGTAGGGTCCCCGCTTAAATTCTCCCCCAGCCTTCAGATCGCATGGCCAGCAGCAGCAGGATGTGAAGGGTGAACAGAGAACAATTATATGGAAACTGTAGAGCAGTAAAATAGGACAAACAGGCATAATACACAGAAAAAAAAACACAAAGATCTGCCAGTTGTTGAGTCACTTTCTGGACTGTGAAAAATATGAGCTACAGTATCCAAAATGGGAGTCTTCCTGAAGCCAGAAGCAGATCAATGAGCCAAAGTAGAGGAAGAAAGGAAATAATGGTGGAAGCAGTTGGAAGTAGGTGACTAAGAAGTGTCCTGTGTAACAGAGGCGATTAAGAGACAAAAGAATAACAAAACACCAGGATCAGATGGATTACATTTGGCAACATTTTATAAATGTGTACAAGACACTTTGGGCTCGTCAATGTTGGAGGTCTACAATGAAGTATTGTTAGAGGCCAAGATACCGAATACTTGGATGGAAGTAAATATTACTTTAATACCAAAGAAGATTCAGATTTAACGCAGATAAAAATTATAGGCCAATATCACTGCTAAATGTAGACTATAAAATATATGCACCAATAATAGTTGAGAGACTAAAAAGATTCTTGAATGAATTTATACATCCAGACCAGAATGGATTTTTACCTAAAAGACAAATCTATTTTTTTTAAAAAACAATATTACCCTTCATCCTCATCTCTAATCTTAATCAAATTCAATTTTTCCCTTCTATTCTATATTATACCCCTTCCCATTGTCATCTATTTTTATATACATCCTCACATTGGTTAATTATGTAATTATGTAATACAGTTGTTTAATACAAATTCAACATTTTAATATAAATCAATTAGTTATATAACTATCTTTTTTGTATATCAATCAATATGAACATGAATATTCCAATTATTTTCATGCAATCCAATTCCTTACAAATCAATTAATTATATTTACCAATAATAATAAACCAAATAATTCCCCCCATATATTCCTCCAAACCACAACTTAACCATTTCTGCTTTCAACACAATATACAATTAATAGTATCTCAATTATTACAATTCCCTAGTTAAATAGAGCTTTTTTTCTTTTGTGTTTTAAAATCTTGAACCTCCTCTTTTGCCCTAAATTTCCCATTGTTTGCAGTTTTGCACCTACCTTTTTTGGTGAGGAAAAAGAAAAAGAAATCTCTCTCTGCCTCATTTTGTCACATTGCAGCAAAGACCCTGCTTTACTTTCAGTTTCGCTTTTTCAGCATAGCTAGGGGAAAAAAAAAACTGTTCCAGCAATTTACTTCTTTGCAGCTAGCTAGCAACAGAGCCCTCCGCAAAACAGCTGAGAGCAAATCAGCTGAGAGTTGGGAGGCCGATCTAATCTATGCTGAAGCTAACCTATGCTGAAGCTGAAAGGGGCTGTTTTTTCTATTTTTGCAGGCACCGGTCTACTCATTTGTTTTCTTTTAACACTGATCAGCTGTAGCCCCGCAGCAAGAATTTAAACAGTTTTTTTCCCCTCTAGCCATCAACTGGGATTCAGGAGGCAGCAATAGATTGGGAGTGGGTGGGGTAAGCGAACGGCGACCAGCGATCCAACAGAGGCAGAGGGTGAGGGTGAGGGTGAATGAAGATGGGGGGGGGTGAGAGAGGGCTTTGGCGACCCCTGTGAAATGACCTTTCGACCCCCAAAGGGGTCGCGACCCCCAGGTTGAGAACCGCTGGCTTAGAGCATCCTGAAGCTTATTTAATTTGCAAATGGGAAAAAGTGCTTTGGCAATATAGAGGTATCTCTGTAATTACAGCCTCCCAAACCAGCACAGGTAGTTTCAGTTTGAAAGAGTTATCCTTATTAATCTCCCACACTCACCTGCAATTATTATATACTGGACAACTGCTGTTTGAAATATCACATCCCTCCCTGTATCCAATTTCATACATAGGAAGTGGAAGGGGAGAATCAGTGGAACCTCAAAGGAGAAGTCTTACCTGCCATGGCTGTACAATCTGGGGTGACTGATTGTCTCTAACCAGCATCCTCCTCTTACTCAGTTGGGAGGAAGAGGCAGCATTGAGGATGGAGGCCACAGCATGGATTGCTCTGGAAATACCGGAGCCATCCTCAATTATCATTCTGTCAAGCACATCAAAGGTTGGTATTGCCCAGTTCTCTTTTTCTGTGCATCTTTTCCAAACCTTCTTAGACAACACAGGTCTTGAATGGGAACACTGGAATGCTTCTTCTACAAACCGTTTCCCAGTAAGGGAATATGTTTCAAAATTATTATATTGTCTTCTGTTTGTCTGGGTTTGGAAGGAAAACAAAACATGTTTACGCTGGAGATCAAGATAGTTGGAAAGCATTCTTATGCTTAATTTCGACAAAGTTGTTGCAATCCACACTTTTCCCTCAATGAATATTTTTTCCCTTTCTTTAACAATTATTACTCCTAATAGTGTTCCTGTGGCCTGAAAATCAAGTTGACAGACTATAACTTTGATGTGAATATTTGTAAGGAGAAAGAACATTTTCTTTTGTTCTTTCCCAAACACGTCTCTAGTGCGTCTATCCACATTCGTTGTTGGGATGGTTTCTGAGAGGACGATGCAAATCCGATTTTGTACAGCTAGAGATTCCAAGCCTTTTTTAAAGATTTCTCCTCTTTCATTGTCCTGAGAAAGAAGGCCGATCCATGTCCATCGGAAATGCAGGAGCAGCTGGACAATAACTGAGTAAGGAGGTTCTGGTTTTGGGGTCATGCGGTAGAAAAAAGGAAAAAGATGACTTTGCCGAAGAATGTAGCTAATCTCACCATAGTTGATCTGTGAGGAAAGAAGATATTGGTAGTTTGTGTCACTTTTAATGTGAAATGTGAAATGTTTAAATGTAAGGTGCTTTCCCCCAACGTTGAGAGAGGTTTCCAGAAAACAAAGTCTGTGTAAAATATATTGGCTCCCTTGGTGTTCTCTACTCTTGTCCCATTTGCTCCTTTTGACCTAGCAAGTTCTGAAGTAATCTGTGGGTGATTCTCATGTGTGATCTCATGAAACAAACCCTTCTCGTAAGATGATTAGGGGACTGGAGGCTAGAACATATGAAGAACGGTTGCAGGAACTGGGTATGTCTAGTTTGATGAAAAGAAGGACTAGGGGAGACACAATAGCAGTGTTCCAATATCTCAGGGGCTGCCACAAAGAAGAGGGAGTCAAGCTATTCTCCAAGGCACCTGAGGGCAGGACCTTGAACTAAGGAGAAATTTCCTGATAATTAGAACAATGAATCAGTGGAACGACTTGATTCCAGAAGTTTTAAATGCTCCAACACTGGAAGTTTTAAAGAACAGATTGGATAACCACTTGTCTGAAGTGGTGTAAGGTTTCCTGCCTAAGCAGGGGGTTGGACTAGAAGATCTCCAAGGTCCCTTCCAACTCTGTTATTCTATTCTATTCTTCCATGCAGATAAGCCTGGGTGATGGAGTGGATGCAATAGGGCACTTTTGATGCCTACAACCAAGGCTCACATGGCCAATGCACATTATGTGGGTCACCCATCTAGTAGATCAGACTCTACAAGTAATCCAGGTCAAGTAGGCACATCTTAATAAATTGAACCAGGGAATTTTGCTGATTTAGTAGGATCATACACACAGAAAGAGATTTCTGATGGTGAGTGATAACTAAATCTAACACTGTAATGTGAATCTGTAGCCACTCTATGAATCAAAAAATCTGATATTTACCTTACAAAATAAAGTAATGATTTTACTTTACAAAGCCATAGTACAACCACACTTGGAATACTGCATCCAGTTTTGGTCACCACAATATTAAAAAAAAGATGTTAAAACTCTGGAAAGAATGTAGAAAAGAGCAACAAAGATGATTAGACATATGAAGAACGGTTGCAGGAATTGGGTATGTCTAGTCTAGTGAAAAGAAGAACTAGGGGTGACACAATAGCAATATTCCAATATTTAAAGGGCTGTCACAAAGATGACAAATTATTTTCCAAAGCACCAGAAGGCAAGACAAGAAACAATGGATAGAGACTAATCAAGGAGAGAAGCAACCTGGAATTAAGGAGAAAGTTTTTAACGGTGAGAACAATTGACTAGTGGAACAGCTTGTCTTCAGAAGTTGTGGGTGCCCTATCACTGGAGGTTTTCAAGGAGAAATCTTGGATAGCCATTTGTCTGAAATGGTATAGGAACTCCTGTTTCTGCAGGGAGTTGGACTAAATGACCGCCAAGATTCCTTCCAACTCTTGTTATTCTATGTTCTATGTTCTACTGTATGTTTTTTACTAGGGCTCTGCACATCAATAGGCGTTTGAACAACTGAAGGCAGATGTTATGCAGTCTCTAGCCAACTGTAGCAACCCATGCTTACATTTCCATTAAAAAAATGGTTTGTTTTGTTATAAAAAGTATAAACCAATAGTCAAATGCTACAGTTTCCTGAATCAGGAGCAGGAATAGCTAACTATAGACTCAGACATCTGGGATGCAGAAGCCAGTTTAACAACCTCACTCTAAAGCACTCGAGATAAGTCTCATTGTGGCAAGCTCCTGTTCATAAAGAAGAGAATAAATTTAGGATGCCATACTTTGCACCGTTTGACAGAATAGCAAAACCGTGTTGAAGTTGCTGCCTGGATGGGCCCTTAAGCTCTCCAAGCACTTCTATGGTCTTCTGTGACCCATTCACATGTCCTTCATATCTTTCTTTTGCAATTTGAGCCCCAGACCCAATTTTTTTAAAAAATGAGGAACATCATGATTGTGAGAGTTATTGCTAGATCTAGCCTGCCTCCTGGATCTCCAATCACTGGAGATTTTGAAGGGAAATTTAGGAAACCCTTTGCAGTGGTCTGAGGATTTCTGTTCTGGGCAGAGAATTAGGCTTGAAGATCTCTACAGCCCCTTTTAAGTTTTTCACTCTATGTATCTGTGCACAAACCCACCTCACCAACTTTTCAATTTGAAACTATTTAGCACCCATATATTCTTGATTCTCTCTTTTCTGATTGCCATTAATCCAACTGATTTTAATATTACTTGAAACATAGTCAACTCAAACTTTCCCCCAAGTGGGAAGATGCCAACTGTTAAATGTTAAGATGTTGAGACTCTAGGAAGAGTGCAGAGAAGAGCAACAAAGATGATTAGGGGACTGGAGGCTAAATCATATGAAGAATGGTTGCAGGAACTGGATATGTCTAGTTTGATGAAAAGAAGGACTAGGGGTGACATGATTCCAATATCTCAGGGGTTGCCACAAAGAAGAGAGAGTCAAGCTATTCTCCAAAGCACCAGAAGGCAGGACAAGAAGCAATGGGTGGAAACTAATCAAAGAAAGAAGCAACCTAGAACTAAGAAGGAATTTCCTAATAGTTAAAACAATTAATCAGTGGAATAACTTGTTTCCAGAAGTTGTAAATTCTCCAACACTGGAAATTTTAAAGAAGAGATTGGACAATTATTTGTCTGAAATGGTATAGGGTTTCCTGCCTAAGTAGGGGGTCAGATTTGAAGACCTCCAAGGTCCCTTCCAACTCTGTTATTCTATTCTATTCTATTCTATTCTATTCTATTCTATTCTGTTCTGTTCTATTCTATTCTATTCTATTCTATTCTATTCTATTCTATTCTATTCTATTCTATTCTATTCTATTCTATTCTATTCTAACTAGCATTATCTTGGGTTTTTGAACAAACACATGTTTTTGCAACAGATCACATTCTACTGTTCTCTTGCTCTAAGGATTTATGTGCCTTAACATTCCCCAATCCTTTCTCCAATTTTACTAGACAATCTACCATGGGACCCAAGGTCATCTCCATTCTGTTTTGCTTCTTTGAAAAAAGACTCTTCAGTGGCAATCAATTCCATGTATTACAGTCATAGACCAGAGACCAGAACAAATAAAAACCCTCAGTAATATACAATTAAAAATTCTAGTATAAAATCATAAATAAAAACTAAAAGCTATGATCAAATCCAGTCTGTCAATTATACATGGTCTAATTATACTAAAATTGCAATCCATAAAATGTGAGGCCTGTTGTCAGTTTAATACTAAAAGGGAAAGGAATACGCAGTGCAAAGGGTTTGCCACATTAGATGTATGACATAACTCTTCAGTGGCAGAAAAAGAGAACTCACAAAGCGTAAGTCTTGTTTCCGAGCCATGTTGTGGCAAAGAGATAAAAAAAATTATATATATATACTTTAAGAAAATTAAAATTCTTTTAAATCTGGTATTATCTAACCTCTGCCTCCATTAAGATCATTTTAGCTTCATACCTGTGGGATTTTGTAGATGCCCAAGACAGTAGAAATATGATCAAAGAGTTCAGCATCTATGTTTTCAAGAACTGCCAGGATATTCCTTTGTCTTCCACATCTGTAATTTGGGACATTCTCCTGCCCTGTAGAGAGCAACTCCATCATGATCTCATATGTTACTCTTGCACTGAGGAAATTATCATAGATGTTGTAGCCCAGGGTAATGTTAGGTAGGAGCCGAGAATTCTGGTTGATCTTATGAACAGCCGAGAAGAAGAGCAGGACATGGTTGAATATTGCTGATGAACTGCAAAATAAGATCTTATCTATACAACAATACTAGGCAGCTCGAAACCATTCATAAAACCTGGTTAGAAATACAGTCTTCCCTTCAAAGCCAGGCCAGACATTCTCACAGTTCAATTGATCCTAATCCAATCCTTGAAGAAGTGGGGTCTTTGTAGTCCTCTAGAATTCTTAAAGGAGAGTTTTACAGAGTGGTGGGATTCAAATAATTTAACAAACGGTTGTCTGCTCTAATAACCAGCTGGGTGGGCATGGCTGGGTGATCATGTGACTGAGTGGACGTGGCCAACTCAGCATCACTCACATCGAGCGGCACCCTGCCTCACCCGCCTGCTCGCCAGGCCCTCCGGTCTCCCGAGCTCTTCTGGTCTTTATCTATTAATTTGTCTACTACTACAGTGTCTAGTTGATTATTTAATGTCTGCCTGTCCATCTGGATCTAGAACTCCCACAGATTCTTAGTTCTATTCTTCTCCACGACCTTCTGTGGAAACTCCTTGATGGCTGGCTAGGGAATTCTGGGAGTTAAAATCCACACATCTTTCAGCTGAGAGACACTGATCTACCCCTTGGGTTCTATCTAGTGCGGTAAATCCCTCCTTCTATAGATCTGGTGCTTAGTGCCTGTTCTTGTGCTGCTATGATCAGTGATCAGTGCTGCCTTTTACACACACACACACACACACACACACACACACACACACACACACACACCACTCAGTGATCTGGAGTTGTGTGTGTGTATTAATTTTACCATTGCTCACAGAGTACATGGACACATATTTCTGTGTTACCCTGCTATTGCAACTAGAAAAACAACAGAATCTTGCAACACGTTAAAGACAAAGCAACTAACTGATTGTATTCTGGAGATCACAAGCACAATCAGCATTTCCTGTGGCCTGCTGCCCGCTCGCTTAGCCTCACCACCGCTTCTCTGGCTGTCGAGCCGAAGCAGCTGATCCGAAGAGAGCTGGATTCCAAAAGCTAAGGAGCTGAGTGCTATGAGGAGAATAAGTGCCGGGAAGCCATCAGCAAGAAGCTTGGGAGGGGAGGGGGTGAGTGAGGCACATTCAGCCGGTTCGCTTGAACTGCACAAAATGATAGCTACCAGTTCAAGGCAAATTGATGAGAACCGGCTGAATCCCACCACTGGTTTTACCACAAACACATAAAGGTTTTCATAATAATATTTCTTCCTATTATACCACCTAGAAAGTGACATTTGGATGGATTCAAAGAGCTGGATTTCGCTTGAGCATGTGATATAATCTGTCCACTATTGAACAAGCCATCTATAGAGCCAGAGATGGTTTTGCTGCAGAATATTGATATCTTTGGAGTTGCTGTCCTTTATTCAAAAAAATCTTTAATGTGATCCCCTATAGCTAAAATATGAGTTTATTATGTAAGGTGCCTATTCTCTGTGGATTTTGTCTTTAAAAGTTATTCTTATTGAAGAGAAAAGTAAAACGGAAGCCACAAAATTTATAAAACTGTAAAAGGCATCAGTTGGAAAGAAATGTTGGAAAAGGAGAAAGGAAGGACAGAGAGCAAAGTAGGAAAGGACAGGAGATTGTAGGAAGCTCAAGAGGTTGCCTTCAGCACAAAGGTACCGAACCCCTTGACTGTGAGATTGTGGGCAGCTATATACAGAAATAGATAAACAAAGAAAATAAATATTTGCACAATATCAAGGAAATCATATTGAGAACAGGAAGAACCCAACTCAGGCAAGATTTAGAAGAGCACTACCAAAATTGCTTAAGACTGACTTTTGCAGAAGAGCTGAAAAGGAACTTTGCATGTTCAGCTTTTCAAGAATCTTCCCTAAAGCAAACTGGGAGAAGCACTAAATATCTGAACTTCCCAAGGTGAGAAATTGGGAAAAGGGGAAAACATGGGAGGTGAGCTCAATCACAAGAATCCGGTACATGCCAAAAAAATTACCTTCTCAATCTGTGGGTTGGAGCCTGGGAGAAAACATGCGGGTAAAATGCAGCAACTATTTTAGATGTTATTCCAGTAATCAGATAGTCTCCTGGCTTGTAGTAATTAAACTCCTTAAACTCATTAAATTCTTCTGTTGCCACCTTCAATGGACACTTCATCTGCATCGCGGCACAGGAAAATTGGGAGAGAAGCAGAATGAAAAAGAGCTTCATTTGCTGCAGCAGCAATGGACATATAATGATGGAGATCTTTCCTATGGGCTCTTCTTTGGCACAGTGTTGGATCTCATCGCTCACAAAAGAGAATCAACTGCAGTGAAAAATTTGCAGTTTCATCTCAGATCTGGAAGAGAAACCTGTAATTTCAGACCAGCACGGTGCCTGCCTAATTCTACCTCTACTCTCAGCGGTGCCAGAGGTAGATACAGGTTGGGATTTTGACTTGCTGAACATCCCTTTATTGTGGCATTGCTTTAAAACTAAAGATGGTGCTGGAAACCCCAGACAAAATAAATAACCATCGTTTTATTAATTAGAAGGGGAATTGGGAATGACTGTTGCTATAGAGGTGTGCAGTTGGAAAAAAAGAGAGCAGTTTTGCTTGCCTCAGGGGCATAGTCCTAGTTAAAGTGTTACCAAAGACACATCAGAGCTAGACTCTGTTCTTTCTCTGTGTCATATATGTGGGTATATGCATAATTTATATACATACATATGTATGTATGTATGTGTGTGTGTATATATATATATATATATATATATATATATATATATATATATATATATATATATGTTTTCTCAGGTTTTCGCGGGTGTTTGTATGTAGGTCTTTGGTTATTCGGGTCTTCTCCCACGTAAAATTGGAAGTGTCTTGGCGACATTTCGACGAAGTCTCATTCGTCATCTTCAGGCTGGTGTTCTCGGCTTCGTGCTTCCAGGAGCACGAAGCCGAGAACACCAGCCTGAAGATGACGAATGAGACTTCGTCGAAATGTCGCCAAGACACTTCCAATTTTACGTGGGAGAAGACCCGAATAACCAAAGACCTACATATATATATACACTATATTTTTTTGAACCCTGAAATAAGTGCTTGGCCTTATTGTAAATACACACACACACACACACATACATTACAAACTATTCTAAAAATATGAGTTCCAGGTATATCTGTAAAGAAAAAAGCAGACATTATGCGAGCTCCGGAACTAACACAGAGTTCCAAGTTGCTCTGACCAAACACAGAGCAACCTGGCAGGGCTATCTCAAACTATAACAGAAAGGATTAATGAGAAACAAACCGGGCCGACCACAAAGTCACGGACAAGACAGCAAAATGTGAGGGTTGACAGGCTAACATCATCCCCCACAGATAAGCAGGCTAGGAGGGAGGAAACAGTAGGAATTAAGCCTCCATCAACCAGCATGATGACAGCAAAAACAACACAGCTAATTACAAGTGGGAGATGGTTGGAAGGGCCTATTACGCGCGCAATGGCCAAATTGATTAATGGCATATAAAGGCAGAGATCGCTGTAATGGTAGTTTAATACTCTGACGATGTCAGCAGATGTCTACCAACTCCATGCAAACCCCCTCCCACTTTCCCACAGCACTAAGTGTGGCAGCCCTGAAGATCCAAAGAAAAAGATGGCCTCCAGGGCTGACAGATTTCACTTCCACTCTCATCCTCCTAAAGGGCAGAGACAAAGCTGGAGAGGAAGTTTCTTTCACTTCATTTTAAGAGCCCATAGGTTAACCCTACAAGGTAAACCAGATTAAGAAGTAGATGTCAAGTTTGAAGCGCGCTTATGCTGTTGCAACCATTATCACTTCTCAGCTTGCCAAAGAATGTGGGGGAGGGGGGGGAAGAGAAGGGTGAGATGGAATGTAGGCTCCAGACTTCAAGAAAATGAGCCATGACAGCCAAGGACACTTCGGAAGGTGTTTGCCAAGACCAGAGACTTTTTCTCATAACAATATAATGACACTCGATGGGACAACATGATTTGCACTAATAGGTGGAGGGAGAAATCTATACTGTGGTTGTGTGCAGGAATTAGATCTGGTTTTATTTATTTGTTTGTTTGTTTGTTTATTTATTTATTTATTTTATTTATTTATTTATTTATTTATTAATTTATTTATTTATTATATTTCTATACCGCCTTTCTCCCGTAGGACTCAAGGCGGTGTACAGTCAAGAAAAATATAGACACACAAACATCATAAAATTGCTAATTAAAATTATTACTTAGTTTGGTCAATTAAATAAAACCCAGAATTAGATAACATTTAAAAAATCATTCACATGTTCATATGTTTAGCCCCGCCTGTTGGAACATCAGAGTCTTGAGGGCACGGCGGAAAGCACGGAGATCAGGGATATTCTGTATCTCCGGGGGCAGTTCATTCCAAAGGGTTGGAGCCCTCACAGAGAAGGCCCTCCCCCTGGGAGTTGCCAGTCGACATAATTTGACTGACGGTACCCTGAGTAGTCCCTCCCTGTGAGAACGAACTGGTCGGTGGGAGGCTATTGGTGGCAAAAGACGGTCTCGTAGGTATCCAGGTCCTAAGCCATGGAGCACTTTAAAGGTGATAACTAACACCTTGAATCGCACCCGGAAGACCACCGGGAGTCAGTGCAGCTCACGTAGGAGAGGTGTTACATGGGCGTAACGAGCTGCGCCCATAATCACCCGCGCGGCTACGTTCTGGACCAGTTGGAGCCTCCGGGTGCTTTTCAAGGGGAGCCCCATGTAGAGAGCATTACAGTAGTCCATACAGGAGGTAACTAGGGCATGAGTGACCGTGCGCAAGGCGCCCCGATCCAGAAAGGGACGCAACTGGTGGATCAGGCAAACCTGATAAAAGGCACCCCTGCCATGGCCATCAAATGATCTTCTAAAGATAGTCGTGAATCCAGGACACCCAAGTTGCGGGCCCTCTCTGTGGGGAGCAAGATCTCATCCCCTATTGTCAGTGATGGTACCAGCTGACTATACTGGGACGCTGGAAGCCACAGCCACTCGGTCTTGGAGGGGTTGAGTCTGAGCTTGTTTCTCCCCATCCAGATCTGCACGGCCTCCAGGCAACGGGACATCACAGCAAGAGCATCATTGGGGTGGTCTGGGGTGGAGATGTATAGCTGTGTGTCATCAGCATACTGATGAACAGTCACCCCGAAACCACGGATGATCTCGCCTAGCGGTTTTACATAAATGTTGAACAGAAGGGGTGAGAAGACTGACCCTTGCGGCACCCCACAAATAAGGTGCCTCGAGGTCGACCTCTGCTCCCCTGCCAACACAAACTGCGAACGGTCAGAGAGGAAGGAGGAGAACCACCGAAGCACGGTGCCCCCCTATTCCTAACCCCTCCAGCTGGTGCAGTAAGATACCATGGTTGATGGTATCAAAAGCCGCTGAGAGATCTAATAGGACCAGGATAGAGGAGCAACCTCTGTCCCGAGCCCTCCAGAGTTCATCCACCAACGCGACCAATGCCGTTTCCGTGCTGTATCGTGACCTGAAGCCCGACTGGAACGGATCCAGATAGACAACTTCATCCAGGTATCGGGGTAGTTGTCGCGCCACCACACTCTCAACAACCTTCGCAACAAAGCGAAGATTGGAGACTGGATGATAATTTGATAATATTGCCTTCATCAGTGCAAAATGATGTACTCAATAAAGTTTTGCATTCAGAAATTGGAACGTCTCAAACGTGCTTGGTTTGATTGAGTTCATCAGTTGGACTGTTGGCAGTAGATTTTGCAGAAACCAACAACTACTTTTATTAGAATGGTTGCAGTAATAGAATCTCACAAGAGTAGCATGGTGGCCTAGAGGTGGAGCTCTCACCCACAACCAGGAGGCTGTGAGTCTGATCCTAGATAGTGGCAGATATTTCTCTCCCTGGATGCACAGAGAAAATATCTGCTCTGAGCTTCACATAGGCATCAGGAAGAGCATCCAACCAGTAAATGCTCAGATCCATTCAGTCGTCCTGACTCCACCCTGATGCAAGGGATTACAAAGTTGTTAAAGAAAAAAAAGCAATAGAGGCTCAGAAGACTAGATGCCCTTCCACTCCTTGGTCTTCCACATTCACGTGTCAGTTAGTGGTCCAAAAGGACCAAATAGTACTCTGTATTGTAGGGAAACTTTGAAGGTTCTGTAGGGAGATGAGAAATTGCACCCAGGAGGTGGCAAAACGGTCTAAGGGGAGGTGTAAGGGGAATGGGAGACAAGAATGGATTGTGTATTTGTGATAGTGATGAATATCCGTAGCTCAGGTGTAAGATTAAGGGTGGAAGTTCCTTCCCCGAGCTTGTGGGTTGGTTTCTGAACATTTTATTACCAGGCTAGGTAACATCTTCAGTGGAATTTAGGGGATGGGGATGTCAGTGTTGTCAGAGTCTGTAGCTATCCAGCCAGCACACAAATAAATAATTGAGCAGGATTCATTTATAGAAGAACTGCTTTATATACAATAATATAAAACATGATGCATGTATACAATATCCATGCAGCTCTTCCAATGTAGTAGAGAGAAGAAGTAGAAGTATAAGGACAAGAACAAGAAGCAAGGAACCTCAGGCAAAGACAAACAAATTCTTATATACATAGAACAGTTAAGCTAAACCATACCCAGGCTCAAAGCCGTATCACATGGCTTCCAACAAATCCTGTGTCTCAGTTACCAAACAGTTCCCATTGGCTGACTTGTTGTTATGGCTATTCCAGTTCATAAATTCTTATACACTGACAAGTGTCACTGTTCTTCTGTTATTGATATGGTATTGAGTATGTTGTGTGTTTCTTCAATTTAGGAGCATTTGATGATGAAGAAGGTGTCATCTTCGGTATGGCCTGTCCAAAGTAGGAATAGCATTTAGACTTTTATAATGTTTCACAGTGCTTTATAGCCCTCTCTAAGTGGTTTATAGAATCAGCATATTGTCCCCAACAATCTTCAGCCTCATTTTACCAACCCTGGAAGGATGGAAGGCTGAGTCAACCTTAAGCCGGTCAGAATTTTAGTTGGATGGCGAGTAGAGCTATGGATTTGAGCCGCTGCATGACTGCTTCTACTATTAGGCCTAAAGGAGAACTGAAAAACCACATTTATCGCAAACCTACCCACATGGACCAGGTCCTCAGCTTTGCAAGCAACCACCACACACAAAAGAAGCTGTGTCCAGACCCTCTTCATAAGGGCCAGGACATACTGCAGCACTACAACACTAAGAAAACTGGAAGAGAAATGGCTGCTTGATGTCTTTCTCTGCAACGGCTGTCCAAAAAACTTTGTATTCCGATACACAGCACCCAAACCACAATGCACCACACAGCCTGACATCACACAAAAACTAACCCTACCCCACACAAAAGAGGTCACAAATGAAAGTCAGAATTCTCCAATCTCTATGAATATTAATAGCCGACAAACTCACAGTGACACTCCACCAGGAATTATCCAGAACCAAAGACAAGATACAGAAAGAAGAAAGAAACAATGAAATTTACAAAATCAACTGAAACAATTGCAACCAATTCTACGTGGGACAAACATCACATCAATTAAAAACCAGGATCCATGAACCCTGGCTGGCAGTCAAACACCATGATCTCAAATCCCTAATCTCTACTCACACTGACACCAAACAGCACCAGTTCGATTGGAGCAATAAAAGAATCATCGGCCATGCTACCACCTGCCATGCTCATGAGTTCATCAAAGTCCACAAGCAATTCCATTAACAGAACATCAACCTACAACCAGCGTACGAACCCCTCAGAATTCAAATCAACTGCATAGTCAACCACAGATAGCAGCTACCTTCAACCAACCCACACAAGGTTCCCAACCAGCAGTTCACCTCCCAATGACCCTCACCTTATATAACCTCCTTATTATAAGACCCATCATAAGACTTTCACTGGTGACCCACACCTGACCCATCACAAGACCCATCAGAAAACCCTCACTTAGCACACCCACAGCTGACTATCACAAGACCTATCACAAGACCCCGACCTGATGTGACCCTCATGCAGGGGTGGGCTGCTGGGGTTTCACTGGGGTTTGGAAGATCCTCTAGCTAAGATTCTGTGCAGTTCAGAGAACCCCCAAATCCCACTCCTGGCTGGCCCCATCCAGCCGTCCCCTCCCCTCCCAGGAGTCCCCATTTGGCCCGTTTTGGATGCAGGTAAGGGCAAGGTGCACATGGAGGCTTGGGGAAGGTGAAAAATGGGCCTACTGGAAGTTCAGGAAGGCTGGAAACGGGCCTCCAGAACCTAGGGAGGCCGTTTTCACCCTCCTGGAGGCTTGAGGAAAGCCTCTGGAGCCCAGGGAGGGCAAAAATATCCCCCCCACCATGGTGCAGGAGGCTGACTATGACACTCCCACCATGGCCATGCCCACCCAGCCACCGGGCAGCGAACCCCTTGCTAAAATTTTTGAAACCCACCTGTGCCCTCACGTGGCATGACCTCACCATCACAAGACCTACTGACCACACAAAGCCCTTATAAACTGACATTGACATGCTGAAGGTGTTACCTCACCTGGTAAATGAAATGTTCAGATACCAACCCACAAGGATTATGTATTTTTCTAATACTACCTCTAATTCTTAAAGAATGATTTCATTTACATAATGGTTTCTGAATCTTTGCTTAAAGACCATCCCTTGGTTCTCTACAGATAATAAATTATTCTGTTTGTGTATGGAAGGACTGCAAACATTGGACAAGACTAGAGAAACGTTGTTCTCTTTTTCCCTCTGAATGAATTGGCAGTTCTATGAGAGGGCCACCACTATTTGTGGGGACATCCATGGTGGTGCATACTCTTATGAAGCAGAGAAACAGGACGAGGTATTTCTGGTGCTCATCCAGAGCATTTGTAGCCCTCTTTGTGTGACTCATGTCCCATAGTCAGTGTATGAATGATAGCATTAATGTTGCTCTTTTGCCCTCTTGGGAATGCGGAGTTGGAAGGATGAGGTTGGGATAAATGGGGATTCTTAAAGAAATCAGCCCTCAGGAATTGGAGGAGAGAGTAGACAGGGTCATCCAATTGTAGCTCCTTCTAGTTTTTCATCATTAGATGCTCCTTGGTATTCATGTCAGGTCTCAGGATAATAATGAAGCATTTGGGGATAAAAATGCAGCCCATTAAACCAAGGCTGGAGGACAGGATGGAGAAGATCTGCACGGCCACCATGTATTTCCCTTTGGTGCTCAGGTAAGTGGGGACAAAGGAGATCCAAACACTGCAGAAAACCAGCATGCTGAAGGTGATCCACTTGGCTTCGTTGAAGGTCCCTGGGAGTTTTCTGGCTAGAAAAGCCACTATGAAGCAGATGGTAGCCAGAAAACCCATGTAGCCAAGGGCGCTGTAGAACATGGCTACTGAGCCTTCATTACACTGCAAGATGATCTGTCCTGGTTGGGAATGCAGGTCAGAGTCAGCAAATGGGGGAGCGTTTCCCAGCCATATAAGGCAGGTGACTATCTGAACTCCAGAGCAGGACAATACAATGGAATTGGACAGACTTTTCCCCAGCCGTTTCCTCATCCTGCTGCCTGGTTTTGTGGCCAGAAATGCCAGCACCACCATGACAGTCTTGGCCAGTAAGGAAGACACGGCAACTGAGAAAACAGTGCTGAAGGTGGTTTGTCGAAGAAGGCAAGTCACTGTATTGGGGCAGCCAATGAATAGAAGGGAAGTCAAAAATGAAAGGAGGAGGGAGATCAGAAGAATGTAGGTGAGGTCCCGGTTGTTGGCTTTGACCAAGGGAGTTTCTCGGTATTTAATGAAGATTCCCAGAACAAAGGCAGCAGTTATGGATAAGGCAATGGCAAAGAGAGCCAGGATGAGACCCAAATTTTCTTTATAGGACAAGTAAGTTATAACTTTAGGGATACATTGATCTCGCTTCTCATTGGAATATTGATCATCTGGGCACTTTTCACAATGGGCTGCATCTGAAAAACATTATCAAGCATGTATTTTTTTCCTGGAGCTGTAGGATTATGACAAATGCAACTAAAGTCAATTACTACTACAATACATAAAAAAAATATTTTTATGTTATTTTCACACAGAAGAAGAAGTGTTAGCCAAAATATTATTTTGTGTGGAAATGGGCAGACTGACCCTGGAACTTAAAGATAAGGATGAATCAGAGTATTATGAAATCTGAAACAAATTTTACTATTGGCTGGAAAGAAGGAGAAATGCTGAGATATAGCACTATTGACGAGTAAAATGTTTGGAAGTTTTTATGCTAATTTGTTATGATAGATATGACTGAATTAGATATTGAAATAATCTATATGGATGAAAGAATATACATATTTCAGATGTGATAATTAGTGTAAGTAAGTGTATTACTTATATGACAAAATTTGATGAAAGTGTTTAAACCGGAGATGTCAAGCTATGTCTATTGTTTTTAACTTGTATTATAAATAAAAAACTTTTTATATATTAAAAAAAAATAAATGCAATTTTTCTTGTTTTATAGAATTTTGCTAGAAAATGGATCTAAAATTAGAAGGAAAGAAAATAGTTTTAGAAAATCTTAGCCAGAAAAACAAGATTGAATATTGATTGCATCCTCAATTTCACACACACTCAGAGCTACCTACCTTCTTGCATAGAAAATGTTCCTTCCATACACAGAGAACAGTCATAGCAGCAAATTGGTGCTCCCTCTCTCACAAGCTTGGCATATCCTGGGTAACAACTTTCTGAACATCTAGAAGAGGGCATCACCTAAGTATTAAAAAAAAAACAAAAAAAAAAAAAACCAGTTAGAAGAGTTTATTTCAATTAACTGGATTCTGGAAGCTAAGAGGTACAGTATATTGTTCTGACCTAGGCTTCCCAAGAGCATGAAAGAGACTCCTTGTCCCAACAAAAAACCCTCTTTATTAATTTAATGTGAATTCCTCTTATTCATATCCAGCAAAGACTTTCAAGGGCGAATTTACAGTCACAGACCTTATCTGCCTTGGAGAGCTGCCAGGCCGATATCTTTATGGAAAAGAACTCTGATCATGAATGAATGAAATGATAGGAATTCTCTTTATCAATCTCTATTTGCAATCCTGAAACATAGGTTTACTCTGTCCAGTTGTTCAGATCAATAGGGGACAGTGCTCATCTCTATTTGTTAGCCCAGAGAGCAAACATTGTCCAAAGAAATTTCTGTGATCATGTGGCCAGCATGACTATACATAGGAGGTGCACAGAATGGTGTTACATTCCCACCGAAGTGGTACCTATTTATCTACTCACATTTGCATGCTTTCAAACTGCTAGGTGGGCAGGAGTTGAGGTAAGTAACTGTAGCTCAGTGCTCACACCCAGGCTGAGCCATTGCATCCCCTTCCTGAAACATACACTTTGCCTTATTGTTCTAAAGATGCGTTTTCAAGAGGCAACTGGACTTTCTGGTTTTTCTTTTGAAGACGTTTCGCTTTTCATCCAAGAAGCTTCTTCAGCTCTGACTGGATGGTAGGGAATGCTGAAGAAGCGTCTCGGATGAGAAGCGAAACGTCTTCCAAAGAAAAACCAGAACGTCCAATTGCCTCTTGAAAAAACACCTTTGGGACAACGGTGAGCTGGGTGACTGAGAATCTCCATAGATACTTTGCTTTATTCTTCATTCCGAAGGAAAATGGTTGCATTGCAAAAGATGTTTCTCCTTAAGGGAGGCTCCCCCTCCTTTCTTTGGCATGAACCAATTGTGGTATTCACTTACTTTCACTACCGTTTCGCAAATGTGAGCACACGCACCTTACATGCATGCGCCTGGCCTCAAAAATGTGCCTAAATACAGTAGGACGGCATAGAGCTGGGGTGAGTGGGCGGGCCCACCTGCAATTTCCGCAACCGGTTCGGGCGAAGTGTTCTGAACCAGCTGAATACCACATCTGGCATGAACCCACCAGAATCTGCAAATGACTGTGTTTCTCCCCTAAAGCTGAACATTGTATTGTTGCATACAAATTATTCTTTTTAAAAAAACTGTTCACATTTTTCCCAGATTCTCAACTTGACATTTTCTCTCACGCAATCCAGTGAAACCTTTGAAACCTTTGGCTTTTTTAAAATTCAAAATAGGATTGTTTCATGGGCTATTAATTATGATATTATCTTCCAACTTAATAATGTAGAATGGTAGAGGTCGTAACAATATTGATGGTGCGGCAGGTTCCAGCTTGTGATAAACTTCTGAAAACTCCCAAAAGATACATGATAGCTAATGAATTAATAGTGCTTTAGATTCCTGGATCTGGAGGTTATCTACAATGTACTGAACGGGAATTATTTCTGAACAGAAAAGAGTGCATTATGTGGAGTTAAACCGAGGAGTAAAAATGAAGAAACATCAGCTACCTCGTTAAATGATGTTGGCCATTGGATGGCACCCTGATTGATGAAGACCTTGACTTCAGAGAGGGCTTCTCTTTCTACACTCCCAACTTTCACCCCAGCAGTTGACTTGTTGGGAAAAACTGCCCAGTGCATGATATCAAAGTCAGCAGCAGGAACTCCATTTTCATCCAAATAAACCCCATCCCTGGAAATGTTGTGAAGCTGGAAGTTTCTCATGAATTGATGGAGCTGCAAAGACAAAGACAATCACACATGCCGCTTACAGGTTCTTATTTCAGCCTTTACTTGATGTTTTATGGCTATTATTCTGGATTTCAAGTGCTCTGAATAATTTAAACTCCTTGGCTCAGCACTTCAATTGAAAGAGGTTGATTGAGGATTTCATGGGAAGCTACTTTCTCTTTGTAAGGGATGTGGTGGCTCAGTGGCTAAGATGCTGAGCTTGTCGATTGAAACATCGGTAGTTCAGTGGTTCAAATCCTTAGTGCCACATAACGGGGTGAGCTCCCATGACTTGTCCCAGCTTCTGCCAACCTAGCAGACCGAAAGCACATAAAAAATGCAAGTAGAAACATAGGGACCACCTTTGGTGGAAAGGTAACAGCATTCCATGCGCCTTTGATGTTTAGTCATGCTGGCCACATGACCACGAAGACGTCTTCGGACATCACTGGCTTTTCGGCTTTGAAACAGAGATGAGCATCGCCCCCTAGAGTCGGGAACGACTAGCACATATGTGCGAGGGGAACTTTTACCTTTACCTTTACTCTCCCTTTATTTCCAGGGAACATAGATCTTTTTCAGATACTGTGTGTCTTGTATTTTCTTAAAGCAACCACTAAGTTCTCCAACCAAGTCATAACTCAGCACCTTCATGTTAACAAAATCCAAAATTACATAACACTGAAAATTTAAGAATTTATTTAATATCCAAGAATTTCCTTGTAAAATAATAAGTTTAATTGTGTAGGAAGTTAGCACCCACCCCTCTCCTAGAAGAATGAAACATTCTAGGAAATATTAAAAAGGCAGAATATTATATTTCTCTGGATGAGAAATGGAGAAGCATGTTTTTTTAAGGCAGGAAGCAGACTCACTCTTATTAGCCCCCACCCTCCTCAGTAGCCCACAGCAGATGTCAGCATTTAAGAGATGGCTAGGTCTGTTCATAAGCAAATACCCTCATCCAAGAGCCAACAAAAGTAGGATTAGCCCTGACTTCCGGTTTGCTTCCTGCTGACGAAAAACGGTCCCATTTTTGGACCGCCAGCCCCGCTGCCTGTTAGAGCCGCTTCGATCCAGAGAAGCGGCTCGGAAGTTCCCCAATCCAGAGGATTTGTGGAAGAGAGTGGGTGAGAAACAGGTTGAGCCCCTGTGAGCCCCCAGACAGCTGTTTTTGGGGAGGAGACAGGCACGGCTCCCTTCCAGCTCGCTGAGACTCCGGACAGCGTGGGACAAGTCTGCCCAGCGCAGAGCAAGGCGGCAGGAGCAACCTTTTCATCTAAAATAAAACGAA